AATCTTTTAGACTTGTTTTACCATGCTAAAGCTCTGATTTTTGTTGTTTTGGCCATGCATACATTGTTTTGTATAGCTACCAAGCAATCTAGCTTGTTAGCTTTTAGTGTCCTAGTCACTAGCATGCTTTACTTGGGCCATTTTAGTGATTTGGCATCACTTGATATGTTATTTCAGTCCATATAGTATGCTCATATACTTGCATTTGTTACTCCTTTAATGTCTTAAAGGGTTTGTGTCTTATGCCTCTTGAATGGATCATTGTGTATGCTTCCATGCTTAGGTCATTTGGATGCTATCTAAGTGGGTTTTTGGTCTTGTTTTACCATGCCATAACTCTGATTTTGGTCGCTTAAATCATACCATGTTTGGTTTTGATAGGTGTAGTGTAACACCCCTTTTGTAGCCTTGCATGCTCCATGTTTAGTGCTCATCTTTCTAGCATGTTTTGGTCTCATTCAATACATGTTTTAGGCTCGCTTTGGTATGATTTAGGACTGTTTTGGGTTATACTTGTCATATGCTCTTTGTTTTGTGTAGTTTTGGTTCAAATTCCTTTACTAGTCTAGGCTTTAAGCCTTATGCATGCCATGCTTATGATTATATGTGTGCTTTGGCATCATTTCTAACATCATTTCAGAGCATGTAGTGTTGTCACACTTGCATGTTTTTCACTCTTTTAAGTGTGCTTAAGAGTTGCTTTACTATGCCTAAGTATTAGGCCATTAGGCATGCATGTTTGTATGTGTTTTTGCCCTCATTTCCATCGTATTTTGGCCACTGATTTTGGCATGGCTGAGGTCTACCCATGTTAGTTTAAGTCCATCTCGGCATGTTGTTGCATGCTTGTCTTGTATGTTGTTGCATACTTGCTTCACTTTGCATGTTGTTGCATGCTATGCATTTTGCATATTTGGGTTGTATGTCTATTACATATTGTATGCTTGTATGCTCATGTTGCATTCGATTTGCATCATGCTTGAATTGTTCGCATGCTTGCTTGCACGCTTAGGTTGCATTGCATTGTGTGTGCATTCCCTTGCCTCTTGATCAAGCATGATAGAGGTTTGGGACCTTTATGTGTTTTTGTGCATTTCATTTGACATCAAATTGCACACTTGGCTTCTTTGGCCACCATGCATGGAAATGCGTGATTGATGGCCCGAGGGTCGAGGACTACACTCCTTTGAGTCTCAAACATGATAAGGAGGGTGTTTGTGCACACATTGTCTTGTAAATGCCTTGCCATGCACTGTCTGTCCCCTGCTACAGCAAAACAGCATTTTGCAGGAAGATATGGCCATCTTCAGTGCCGGCCGGCTACCAATCTTTGGCCGAGAGCCTCGTTTGTGGTCGATGACTAATTTCCAATGGCCGGTGGCATGATATTTTGGCTGGTGACATCCAAAAACACTCAGAGAGTGGTTCAGAAACATCTCTGAGACTTGTGCAGTTTTCAAAGGTGCCTAGCAGTGCAAATAGAGGCAACACGTGGCATGGCAACGGATTTTCGAGCGAAGCCGACCGAGCATGCATGCATCCCTCTTCTCGTGGCCTCTTTACTGCTTTTGTAGCTTAATTAATTTGTCTAATTAGTTAAATGTTGTGTAATAATTAATTAGTTTGTTAGTTAGTTAAGTTGTATTATTCTTTCGGTCCATCCGTCGAGAGGGCATAATTATGTGATAAGTGTGCATGAGTGTGTGAATGTCTTCCAACCTCACATCTTTCTCCCTTTTACTTACCTGCTTATGTTGGTTAGTTTTAGGGTCATTTTCAATTAGCATACCTTATGCTTTGCATGCATGCATCCATTCATTCGTATTGCATGCACCGGGCTCGGCGCATCAAACTAATTGCATCGTATTTCAATTCCAAGTTAAATACATGTATTGGATTGTCGCATCTTACATACCATCTTAGAATAGCCGAGCCTATTTCTAGTCGCATTTTGCATGTGATGCATTAGCCATCGATAGCATGAACTAGGATCATGCATTGATTACTAACTAGTTTCCTGTTTTGGCTCGGAGTACACTGTAAGTGTTTATGCTTTAGCATCTCGCATGTATGTGGATGTTGCCATGAAAGCATGCTTGCCATGAGGCTAATCGCTTATGTGATGTAACTGCCTGAATGCCTGTGGGTGAAGTTTGGATTGCTTGAATTGGAACAATTCATTGAAATCCGCATTTTAGCCTACTTGCGAGTAGCAAACCTCAAAACGTTTCCAAACAAACAGATATGCGATGCTTTGTTCCAAATTAGGCGATCTAGTCTATACTTGTGTGTTGTGCGCATCAGGTAGTAAAGGTTAGCTAATTAACCAGAATAAGAATGCATGTGTTTTCAAAAATAAGATATCATGTTTAGTAGTGGCCGATCTTTGATCGAGCGAGCGGGAGTGCTCATAGATGACCTTCCCCAATCGTACCCAAGTTCCGGAGCCGAGGCAACTTTGGTGATGACGGACATGTGGCTTTAGGCACGAATCAGGGTTTCCTAAATTTTCCCAAAATAAAATATTTAGGTGGCGACTCTGTATCTGGCAAAGTTGTCTATATTTGGCACTTCTTTCTTAAAAATCAGTTTTCCAAAACGATTTGCCGGATTTGGACTCTTTGGTGACTTATTAGTCTTGCATTGTACTTTGTGAGATCAGATTAAGAACCGTGACATTATGAGTCTGAACTGTAGTAGCATAAGGCCCCAAGGGCGCGTCTACACCCCCTCGAGACCCAGAATGATCTCCATAACCCCCAGATGGTGGCCCATGCAACTTCCAACAAGTCTCACGGGTGTGGCGAGGGCGACGACAATAGTCACAGAAATGGGTATCCTTCTCAGAAGGGGGACGAGAACCACAATCCCCATCTCGAGAGGGTGTAGAAACCAGGGCAAATCGATTAGAAGAGGCAGACGGAAGCATAGCTGGACGACGACTCTCCTCATTCTGCACATATGCAAACGCTTCTTGGAGAGAAGGAAGCACATCCGTACCAAGCACACGACTCCGAACAGAATCAAACTCCACATTCAGACCTTCCAAAAACTTGAAGACCCGCACTTGTTCAACAAATTTCCGGTACCCAGCAAAATCAGTGGGACAGACAGGCTTGTCCTGAAGATGATCAAGTCTCTTCCACTCATTGCTAAGGAAAGTAAAATACTGGAGGATAGTCATCTCACCCTGGATGGACCTGTCAATGGAGCGTCGCAACTCAAAAGTCTGTGAAAAATTGCCTTTGAGGGAATATTTAGTAGCCATAGCCTCCCAAATATCCTGTACTGTGTCCATAGACAAGTATCCCTCACCAATCTCCGGAACCATGGAATGTATCAACTAGCCTATGATAAAAGAATTGGTAATTTCCCACTGATCATAACCCGGATTTGTGGGGCTAGGGGCCGGAACGCGCCCATCAACATACCCCGACTTCCCTTTGCTTTTCAAAAATATAGTCAAACTCTGTGACCACGTTAGATAATTCTCACCATTAAAGAGAGAGGTGGTGATTTTCTAGCCATGGTGGAGGGAGTCAGTCATAGTAGTAGGTAAACCAGGACTCGCGCCCTGAAGAGTAGGCTGTGTAGTGGTAGACTCACTAGTCAATTCTACCATGAATACTCTACTATGGAACCCTCACAACAAACACTGGTCTAATCACAAATCGGAAGATGGGAGAATATACCAAACAGATCAACCTGAATTTAAGAGAACATTTTTTTTTTATTTTTTATTTTTAAGAAAAGAAGAAGACAAAAAAGAAAAGAAAGAGAGAGAGAGAGAGAGAGAGAGAGAGAGAGAAGAAATTACATGAATAAAGGAGCACTAATGATCACCGAATAAAAAACAGTGTAACCCAAACCCAAGAGATCAACGACTGAACCACGGAGAAGACAAATCGACTGAACCAAAGAGAAGAGAGTCAACTGAACCAGAGAGCTCCAGAGTGGCTATCGGCAGCCTGAGGAGGGAGGAGAACCCACCTGACTGAGCCTCCAAGCCCGTCGACAGACCTGGGCTGGGAAAATGAGGAGCTCCGATGCACCCTAGCGTGCAGGCGAAGCCTGTGAAGGCTGCGGCTAGGGCTTTCGACGTCCTAGAAGGACACGACTTGGGACTGTCGGGGCCCTAGGATGCTGTGAGTGGTCCTAGCGGAACCCTAGGGAGATGGCGGCTGGTATGATGTGGACTACAGCTGGGGTGGTGGTGCGGTGGTGGTGTGAAGGTGGCTGTAGGGTTGTGGTTGCTAGGGTTTTAGAATGGCTCTGATACCATGTCAATTTTGAGAAGAGAAAATTAGAGGTATGAGTGGTATCTCATCCCCTTTTATATTAAATCATCACCATAATTACAGGAGTGCCCTAAGACATCAAATAAGAATATTGAATATACATCAAAATAAAATAAGGAATATTCTAACACATTCTAACATTTTTGTTGTGGTACATTTTTGTTAGCCAAGGGCTATAACTATTTGGGTTCGAGAGACCATTTTTTTGTGTAATCGGGCTTAAGCCTTGGAAATTTGTAAGCCCTTAAGGGTATTTATTTATTTTTGGATTTGATGCTATACATGCTATAGATTCATGTATTTGGTATGTTGAATGTATAATTTGCATGTGGAATCATTTTGTACAACCCTAATGATCAATGATGTAAAGGTTGGAAAACTACTTCTTTTCTTATAATGAACGTTGGTTGATGGATTGAATGATGTTATAATTTTTTTGGGGCGTTACAGAACCCATCAATTCATTATCCTAAAATGATCTTCCATTTTATCCTTCCTATTATGGAAACAAATCTACAAGAATCATATTTAAATTTAAAAGACTAAAATTGTAAATTGAACCTTCGCTTCGTCACAGGCAATGTATGCTTAAGACAATTATAGTGTAAAATTGAAAATGATAAAAAAACAATAAAATAAATACTTACCTAGCAAATTCTCAGCAGACATACAACCACCAAGGATAGCATCCGTGTTGATAGCTTAACAAATTCCTTTGGTGTTGTCCTGGGGAACCAATTTTTTAATCATATAAAAGAGTGTAGGATCTTGACCTTTACATGAGAGTAGATCCACTATTGTAGCCAAAGTAGATGCATCTACTAAAAAGACCCTCCCAATCATTTTCTCCACAAGTATATTTGCTTCAATGTAGTCATTTGCTTTAAGGAATCCACGGACCATAACATTGTAAGTTGCATAATTCGGCCAACAACCAATGTCTTCCATTCTCATCAGTAACTCTTTTGCCTCACCCAAAAGCCCTTGTTCACAAAATCCACCTATCATCATAGTATAAATATTAACATTAGGCCGCAAACCTTTAGAATGTAGCTTACCAAATAGATTCTTTGCCATCTCGAGCTTCCCATCTTTGCAAAATCTATGAATTAAAATATTGTGCACAGTAATATCAGGATTTATGCCAATACGTTCTAGCTCCTGAAACAACAACAATGCGTCATCAATGCATCTTCGCCAAAACAAGTTTTCAAAAACAGAAACTACTTATCATATCCGATATCAAATATTGAGGTTTCAAAGCTGTAGACAACTTGTTGCCTTTGACGTCTAGATAAAAACATGAACATTCATGTAATATTGTAGTTACAAAAAACCCAACTCCCTATATATTCATATAGATACAATTAGGAATCTCTCTCTCTCTCTCTCATCACTGATCGGTCAAGGAACTTTCAATTGTGTTGCAGTTTGAATTTGTGCATTCTTTCTGGCATGACCTTCTTCATCAATGGTATCAGTCAGCTGTCGTTGAACTCCTAGTCACTTTTACATACTAATGTTGTAACTTGCTTCAACCAAAACCTGTTATCGAAAAGATCTATGTAAGAGGTCTTTTTAGCAAGGCATCAATGTGCAGTTCCTTGCATAAATTAGCAGAATTTTAATTTATTTACACAAGCAACAATCAAATTTATTGAAGCAAAATAGTGCCAAATTTCACAATCAATATCACCAAAGAGGAGATAAACACCTCCTTCATCTATGGCGCTTCCAATAAACCAACAACAAGAAGCAGCAGCAAAACTGTAGGGGTGAAACAAAAACACAAGCAGAAGCACTAAGCTCCATTGTGACGATATTCTCATTCGAACTAAGCTCCATTGTGAAGACATTCTCAAACTTCGAATGAGAATAATAAAAGGGACAACCTTATGAAAGAAAGATAAATGTAACAACACACTAACTTCTTGTCATCTTAATCTAAATACAAAGAAACTTTCGGGCAATCTCTTATGGAGACATTTTCTACGACAAAATAAAGCTAATAGAAAAAAAAAAAAAAGGAAAACTGGCACAACAAAATGAATAAAAAACGAACCCAAATATCACAATCAGAGAGCTATATCTAGACCATCCAAAGCCATTTTACCAAAATGATACAACCAGCCATGATGGCAAACGGCTAACACAATAAACCGTTCACACCTTAGAAGGAACTAGATGCACAAGACGAAGATCCAAAGCATTGAACCAATTGCTTCACTTCATTATAGTGTCAAGTAGTAAATGATAAAAACAATCTAGTAAAAATTAACCTACCAAATTCCCAAGATATATATTTTCATAATGATGCTTCAAAGGTCAAATTGTAGCGAACCAACAATTATCCAACATGTGCCCACCAGAGATAGCATCCATGTTGATGGCTTTAATGAATTTCTTTGGTGTTACGGATTTCAAGTATGTCTTGGGGCACCAATTTTTTCATCATACGAAAAGAGTGTAGGATCTTGACCTTCAGCTGAGAGTAGATCGACTACTGTAGCCAAAGTAGATACATCTGCTGAAAAGCCCCTCTCAATCATTTTCTCCAAAAGTAATTTTGCCTCGTTGTAGTCCTTTGCTTTAAAGAATCCACATACCATAACATTGTAAGTTGCATGATTAGGCATACAACCCATCTTTTCCATTGTCATGAATAACTCATTCACCTCATCCAATAGCCCTTGTTCACAAAATCCACCTATCATCATAGTAAAACTGCGAACATTGGGCTGCAAACTTTCTAGTAGAAAGTTTACCAAATAGATTCTTTGCCATCTCAAGCTTCCCATCTTTGCAAAGTGTATCAATTAAAATATTGTGCATAGTAATATCAGGATTTATGCCACTGCATTCTAGCTCCTGAAACAACAACAATGCTTCATCAATATGGCCATTCTTGGATAATCCATCTAGTAATACACAATAAGTATAAAAATCTGGACGCTGACCCTTAGCTTGCATCTCATTCAGAAGTCCTTGAGCAGTAAAACACCTACCAACCCCAAACAATCCCTGCAACATAGCATTGTAAGTAGGAATTGTGGGTTTCAATCCTTTACGAGGCATTTCTCGGATAAGATTCATGGCCACTTCAATTTTCATATTCTTGCAATATCCATTTATTAAAATGTAATAGCTATGAGTGTCGGGCACAATGCCCTTATCCACCATGGAATGAAAGACTTCAATTAATTGCTCTGTCTATGTGACCTAGCAAACAATAACTATCCATGAGTATATTGTATGTGACCTTATTGGGAACCTCACCTCTTTGGACCATGAATTCAAGAACACTCTATGTTTCTTTTGACATCCCTTCCTTGAAAAGCGCATTTATCAATGTATTAAAGGTAAGAACATTTGGAAAAACATTCTTGTTTGTCATGTCTCTCAACATTCCTGTTGCTTCCTCCCATCGGCCTAAATTACATAGTCTATGAATCAAAGTGTTGTAAGTGATCACGTTCGGTGTAACATCTTGCTGGGTCATTTCCACTAAGAGGATCAAAGCATCATCAACAATTCTGTCCTTACAAAGACCATCAATAATTGCGTTATACATCACAACATTAGGCTTATAGTTCCATTTTTTCATACTCCTAACGATCCCTATGGCAGTTGTAGTATTTCCCGTCTTGGAAAGCCCATTTATAATAGTACCATACATAACTTCATTAGGTTTGATTTCTCCCTCTTCCACCAATTTATTGAACAATTCCATGGCCTTGTGTCACACACCGGCAATGCGGAAGCCTTGACAAAGATATGCAAGTGTGTGTGGCGCTAGTTAACTCTCTTCACTAGCCCGCCAATAAAGCTCAAAAGGTTTGCAAAAACAAGCAAACACAATATTAGTTTAGTTGATGAGCCACAAGATTGGAGGCAAGCCACAAAATAGCAATCAACAAGCTAAAATTAAAGTAAGCAACAATTGAAAGGCTTTGCACAATTTAAAGGCGAAATGAACTTTTCATTACTCAAAAGAAAACATTACAATAATTAAACAATGCACTAAAAGTGCTACAAGAGTTGCCTTACCATAAGCTAGGTTGGGGTACATTAAAGGCACAAGTGGTTTAGTTCAACACTTGGGTACCGTCTCCTTAATATAGCTTGTTAAGCTTTTTCTTAGCTGGCAGGAGGAAACATCCACTATGTTTGAGGAGTCATAATGGATTTTTAAAAATTCTACAAAAAGAGAAAAATTACAACTCTTGTTCCCAAAACACCTTTAATACTAAGGCATTTACATAAAAATTTACAAGGCAAAAAGATTACATTTAACCCTCTAAAAGTTGGCCTAAAGTTGTTACTTGGTGGCTAGGTTGCTTCATGGCATGTCTTGGACTATCTTGCACTATGCCTTGGGCCTTTGCTTGCACTTGCACCAACAACTTCTTAGGCATGTCTTTGGCTCTCCAAATGGCACAAATGTGTGTGGCATCAAGGTGTTGACCCTTGGATGGGCGCCCCTTGACACCTTGCCAGTCTTGTCTTCTAGAATGAAGCCATTCATTAGAGTGTTGAAAGTATATATAGATGGTACATAACCACGTTTGAAGGAGCTAGCTAAGACAGAAAACCCATAATCCACTCGATTCAAGTGGCAAAGGTAATTAATTACAATAGTGAGGGTATATTCATTAGTCTAAATACCCAACAAGCACATTTTTTGGAACAAAGAAATAACAGTGGAATAATGCTTCATTTTGGCAATACCACTTAACAGCTGAGTGAAGTTGATAACAAAAGGCAGGGGTTGCATGCAGACCAAGCAATGGAATAAAGTAAGAGCATCATCGAGCTTATTAAAACCCAATTTGGATTTCTCTAACAATAATTTCTGTAGTTGCCTCCGATTACTAGTAAGAGCATCATCGAGCTTATTAGTTAAGGCCCCTCAATGAAATTTCTCTGTGATCATTCCAGAGAAATTACTTGAATTATTAACTGAAATACATTTGTGACATTATTAAAATTTGTTAATTGATTTGATAATTTATTATTTATTATTACACTAATCTACCGATACAGATCTAATTGTTTCAATGGTAAAATCAACTCCAAAGAACTCCAACCAACAGTAGTGTTTTTTAGATCTTACCCATCTTGCTCATCTTTGTCTCCATTTCTGTCTCTTTATTTTTCAAACCAAATCTATTGCAAATTTATTTTTTAATGATAAATTTATCAGTCTTTAGTTTTGTGTATGTATGTACGATGTGAGTGTCTTGTGAGTAAGTGTGTATAAGTATGAATGTGAATGAGTGATTGACATCTATAATTTTTTTACAAATCATTCAATAATAAATTTATCATTGATGTGTTTAGTGAAAATTATCATTGAATGTATCTTTAATTTTTTTGTTGATCTTGTATTGATCTATGATATTGAAGACTAATGTGAAATATTTTATAATAAAATTTTATTTTTCCTCCTCTTCCCCCTTCTCTCTTTGTCTCTTGTTGGTACTAGAACTAAGGAGGTGGTGGTGGTAGTCAAATAGTGAAGATGAACATTTTTTTTTGTTAGAAAATGATCAAAAAAAATATCACCAAAAGTTGTTTGAGATTAGAGATAATTGCTGGAAGTTAGAAATAGCTACCGGAGGTCAGAGGAAGTTATCGGAAGTCAAAGATTGTCGCTGGTGACCAGAGGTAATTGCTGACAGTAGAGGGCATCTACTGTAGTATTGCAGCCTCGTCCCTGGGTTTAATTAGACTATGTTTGGATCTCAAATTTTTAGAGGAATTAGAAAAAAGAAAAAAAAAGTGAAAAAAAGAAGAAGAAGAAAATAGGTGGTGCGTAGTTAAGGTAGACAAGTTTCACAATTCCCTTCCATTTTCTGTTTGCACAACGAGGAGTTGAGTCCCATGGTGATTGTGAACATAAAGCAGAAAACTTAAGTTCAAACACAACCCGCAACAGAAAGGTTGGATAGTATTAGTGTTGGAGGATTTAAAATTGAGAAGGACTTCGTTATGGTAATTTGCGTATTTTCTAGTCTCTGTTGAGTATGAGGATTTGGATGTTTTCGTTTTTTCACTGGGGTCAGAGGAGGAGGGGACTTGGGGTTTAAATCCAGTGCTAAAATTTTAATGTATCTTTTCCTTTTGTCGTGATTAACATTATACTTATTTCTATTCAATGTTGCAGTAACAATTTAATTTTCTCAACAATCGATATTGTAACATCTAACTCAGAAGTCTATGATATAATAGGTTAAAATGAACTTACGATTCAATAAAGTTGTGATTCCATTGTTTGGTGTGTTTTTTGATGTAGATACCCCCATGATGAAACGGGTACTACCATATTACACACTTTACACACTTATAGATCTACGGCTAAATTTTCCTCCTCAAATTACCAAAAACCATTACCAATCTTAGATATTTGTTGTCATAGTTTTTTTTTTTTTTTTTTAAAAAAAAGAAGAAGAATAAGAATAAGAAGAAGGAGAAGAAAGAAAGAAAGAAAGAAAGAGATTTGAATCAATTAAGGGCAAAATAATAGAACGACATATAAAAAAAGACAGAAGAACAAACAGAAAGAGCATTTTCAATTTTATAATATTGCAATCGACAAATGGCAATACAACTTGAAGTACCTAAATTGACTTTTTGAATCCTGCCAAAATGACCTCAAGCCCCAATTCATTGCACAGAAGCATGATTATATAGCATCTTCTACCTCAGTTTCGTTTTTGGCAGTGGACAAAAAACAGTGTAAATAGCATCATTTGCAAGCAATCAACCAAGAATCAACTGTTTCAAAGTAGAACCCATCAATTCCTTGTCCTAAAATGATCCTCCATTTTTTCCTTTCTCTTATGGAAACAAATCTATAAGAATCATATTCCAATTTAAAAAACTAAAATTGTAAATTGAACCTTCATTTCATCATAGGCAATTTATGCTCAAGACAATTAGTGTAAAATTGAAAATGATAAAAACAATAAAATAAATACTTACCTAGCAAATTCTGAGAAGACATATGACCACCAAAGATAGCATCCGTGTTGATAGCTTAACAAATTCCTTAGGTGTTATCCCAGGGAACCAATTTTTTAATCATATGAAAGAGAGTATGATCTTGACAATTATCTGAGAGTAGATCCACTACAGTAGCCAAAGTATATGCATCTGCTGAAAAGCCCCTCCCAATCATTTTCTCCAAAACTATATTTGCTTCACTGTGGTCATTTGCTTTAAGGAATCCACGGACCATAACATTGTAAGTTGCATGATTAGGCACACAACCGGTCTCTTTCATTGTCACGAGCAACTCTTTTGCTTCACCCAATAGTCCTTGCTCGCAAAATCCACCCACCATCATATTATAAGTCATAATATCAGGCAAATAGATTCTTTGCCATCTCAAGCTTCCCCTCTTTGCAAAATCTATAAATTAAATACTGTGCATAGTAATATATCTGCGTTCTAGCTCCTGAAACAACAACAATGCTTCAACAATATGGCCATTCTTGGATAATCCATCCAACAGGACACAATAAGTATAATAATCTGGAGTCTGACCATTAGCTTGCATCTCAGTCAGAAGTCCTTGAGCAGTAGAACACCTACCAACCCCAAACAATCCCTGCAACATAGTATTGTAAGTATCAATTGTGGGTTTCAATCCTTTGCAAGGCATTTCAAGGAAAAGATTCATGGCCGCTTCAATTTTCATATTTTTGCAATATCCATTGATCAAAATGTTATAGCAATGAATGTTCGGCTCAATGCCCTTATCCACCTTGGAATGAAAGACTTTTATTGCTTTGTCCATTTGGCCTCGCAAAAAATAACCATACGTCAGTGTACCGTATGTGACTACATCGGGACCAACACCTCTTTGGACCATGAATTCAAGAACACTCTCTACTTCTTTTGCCATCCCTTCCTTGCATAATGCATGCATCAGTGTCGTAAAGGTATGAACATTTGGAAAAACATTCCGGTCTGTCATGCCTCTCAACATTATTGTTGCTTCCTCCCACCGGCGTAAATTACATAGTCCGTGAATCAAAGTGTTGTAAGTGATCAAGTCTGGTGTAATATCCTGCTGGGTCATTTCCACTAAGAGGCTCAAAGCATCATCTACATTTTTGTCCTTGCAAAGACCTTCAATAATTGTGTTATACATCACAACATTAGGCTTATAGTTCCATTTTTTCATACTCCTAAAAAGCCTTATAGCAGTTGTAGTATTTCCTATCTTGGAAAACCCATTTAAAATAGTTCCGTAGATAACTCCATCAGGTTTGATTTCTCCCTCTCTTACCAATTTATTAAACAATTCCATGGCCTTGCCAGTCTTGTCTTGTAAAATGAACCCATTCATTAGAGTGTTGAAAGTATGTACACATGGTACATAACCAAGTTTGAAGAAGCTACTTAAGACAGAAATCCCAGAATCTACTCGATTGGGTATAGCCATCAACCCTAATACCCAACAAGCGTATTTTTTTAAACACATAAATAACGGTGGAATAATGCTTCATTCTGGCAATACCAGTTAACAGCTGAGTGAATTGGATAACCGAAGGAAGGGGTTGCAATTGGACCATCCAATGGAATAAACTAAGAGCATCATCGAGCTTACCAAACCCCAATTTGGATTTCTCTAACAGAAATTTGGGTAGTTGCTTCCGATGATCAGGAAGATTAGGATTAGGACTAGGATTACTGTTAGGCCATGTTTGTTTGGGCGGACTGGATTAGCATTCCCATAACTAATAGTCCTAGGACTATGAATCCGTTGGATTATGTATCATATCTTAACTAATAGTCAAGTTTAAAATAATTAGTCCGTACTTCAATTGTTTAACCAAACATCGGATTAATAATTTTATTGAACTATTAGTCCAATCGAATTGGATAACCGAAGGAAGGGGTTGCAATTGGACCATCCGATGGAATAAACTAAGAGCATCATCTAGCTTACCAAACCCCAATTTGGATTTCTCTAACAGAAATTTGGGTAGTTGTTTCCGATGATCAAGAAGATTAGGATTAGGACTAGGATTACGGTTAGGGTTAGGGCTAGGATTGGTTGAAATTTGGGTATGAAAGAGAAGTGTATTACTATCAGCTGACAACAATGGGTAAAAGTTGAAACTGAAATTGAGAGAGGGAAGAAGAGTGATACCTTTCCGGTAGTTATGAGCTAATAATCTTCTTCCGGAAATCAAAGCAGCAGTGGCGATTGCTTGCATTTTCTTCACTCAAAAATGGTTCTTTTTGAAACAGATAGACACGAAAAGATTGAAAGTAAGTGCTTGACCAATCTGATCATGAATTCATGAATTTGCTAGAGTCGTTTGATGGAAGAAGCTCTCATTATTGCTACGTTTGGGTTGGGAGGGGAGGAAAAGAAAAAGGAAGAGGAGGGAGGGAGGGAGTGACGTATGAAAACTGATTTAAATTTTTTTTTTCGTTTTTTTTTTAATTTTATTTATAAGGTTGATGTCAAATTATTAATTTTAGGTATTTAATTTTAATTTTTTTGACATTCAATTAAAGATAATTTTACAACTCGTAATAAAGTAAAAAATAATTTTATAATTTAAACAATTTAAATTATGAGATTAAACACTCTTAAATGTAGAGTATAATGTGATCAAAATAATAATAAAATTGAATATTTTATTTTATGATTTAAATAATTTAAATTTTAGGATAAATTATACTTATCTCTTTTGATATTTCTGACAATTATAGGAACCTCTTATGTAATTTTAATAATTACACTAACATCTTTTACTTTTAAAATTATTATCAAGATTTCTCCACCATTAGGTTATTTAACAGATTTTACTGATGTCATGCCAACAATGACAAAATTTCTCATTAACTTTATCTATTCAAATGAGAAATTTCACTCATCTCCTTGAAGTTTTGTATATATATTATCAAAAATTTATATATATTTTATCATTATCTAATAAAATTCTTAAATTTTATGCAATATTAAATAAAATTTAAAATTGTTAAGACATTATTAAATCATTTAATGAAAAAAAAAACTTGATTTTATTGATAAAATACTTTGAAATGAATAATCTCTCTAAAATTAATATTAGATAACATTCTAATAATATATATGACTAATTGCACTGTCACGACCCGCTCCCCGTAGTCAATGGTTAAGTATCGTGATGGCCAGTAATTAAAGTTACCTCCGGCCAATTCTTGAACAAATAAATAAACGCAAGCGGAAGAAATATTTAAGTAAGGGTACCAAAATAATCATTGGAGTTTCTATTTTTATTACAAAATTATATTGACCAAAAGGCCGATATTTACATATAAAAAAAATAACATAAAAGTGTTGTGTGTGTCTATTTCGCAGCCCCGCATCTAAGACTTTCCAAAAGTTATTTTTGAATTGCATTATTTCCTGAAAATTGGTAAACAACTATAAGCACATGGCAGAGTGAGAAATATTATACCAAGAGTATAAGGGACACGAAATAACCATGAATAATTAGTTAGGCCAAAACATTTAAGATAACTCAGTTTGGTAAATAAATCATTAGTAACCAAATCATTTAAGTAGTAGAAATTGAAATACATATATTATGTAAATATATAACCACAACTGAGATTATCCTTTAAGTAGCAAAACTGACATTATGTAAATAAATAATTATAACCACGGTACTTTGATAAACAAATTATTTAAGTAGCAGAAACTGAAATACATAAATTATGTAAGTAAATAACCATAACCACGGTACTAAACAGAACAGAGCAGAGGTTACAGAAGTGACAGTCAAAACAGAGGTACGAATTTAAGAGGTGACTTGTACAGATTCTAGAAGTAGCTCCCACTATGGTGTAGCACTTAGCTCCGCACAATACTTTGGTCCGTATAGAACAGAGCTCAATAGATCCATGACAAACAGAGAACCACAAAATGGCCAAACAGAAGCCAATGGTTATTTAAGTCCCCCAATGCGTGAGACTCCCGTGGTGGTATTTACAAAACATAATTGTATATAAAGTTATAATCAAATATTCTTTAAAATATAAACAAACATATCCATGAGTTTCACTTTCACAAATAGGATTCAGATAATAAAACCACGTAACTGAAATCTTTATAAAACATAACTTTTATTAATATACTAATAAAACATAACTTATATAAAACGGATTTTAGTAAGTCAAAACATACTTAAAATGTTTTATGGTGACTCAAGATATAATATAACTCACCTTAACTTTAATACCTTACTCTTTCTTTCTACTATCAAAGACCCTTTTAACTTCTATTATTTTTTCTTCCTTCTCTGTTTTCTTTCTTTCCTTTACTCCTCTCTTTCTTCTTTCTTTTTACGCAGGTTGATCACCTCCACCCTTAAATAGGGAGGAGGAACCCCCAGCCGGTTAACACGTGGCAAGCGTCCCTTCCATTAAGATTTAATTCATAATTATATAGATTCATTCTTACTCTTAATAGATATTTAAGGTAATTACCATTTGACCTAATATTTTAATATAATTATATAAATAAAGTAATTGTTAATTAAATTATACTTTATTTTATACTAACAAAAAATTATTTATTTATTTTCCTATCACATCCATCATTATTATTATTCCTCAAGATATGATATAACTCACCTTAACTTTAATACCTTACTCTTTCTTCCTACTATCAAAGACCCTTTTAGCTTCTATTATTTTTTCTTCCTTCTCTCTTTTCTTTCTTTCCTTTACTCCTCTCTTTCTTCTTTCTTTTTACGCAGGTTGATCACCTCCACCCTTAAATAGGGAGGAGGAAGCCCCAGCCGGTTAACACGTGGCAAGCGTCCCTTTCGTTAAGATTTAATTCATAATTATATAAGTTCATCCTTATTCTTAATAGATATTTAAGATAGTTATCTTTGACCTAATATTTTAATATAATTATATAAATAAAGTAATTGTTAATTAAATTACACTTTATTTTATACTAACAAAAAATTATTTATTTATTTTCCTATCACATCCAAAATTATTATTATTTTTATTATTATTATTTATATTTATATTTTGACTCATAAACTTTTGATAATTATATTGTTTCATAAAATTACACATAATAATATATAATAAATTATATATTTTCTTAACTGAGATTAAATAATATTAGTATAAATTCTACAAAATAATTAAAAATCTGAATTGTTACATGCACACCACATAAATAACCAAAAAAATATTATTTTAAGTAATGCATTTATTACTTGAATTTTTTTGAAGTTAAAATAAATAGATTTATTTCTTTCCCAACAATTTACATTACTTATTTATTCATATGTAAAAAAATTATTGTTTTATCTTTTCTCAATTATATATGATTCTCAAATTTTAATTTTAACTTTGAGTTATTAAATTTCTAATCGCTTTACAATAAATTAAAATTAATTAATACGAAATGAAAGATCAAGAAATTATTTGAGAATAATAAATAATTCAAACAATTTATCATTTCTTACACGTAAAATTAAAATTAATCTTTACTTGAATGGAGAAATTATTTGAGAAATTTATTTTAAGTATCATATAACAAATTAATTGAGTATTTTAGTATTTTAAAATCATTTCTCCATTCAAGTAAAGATTAATTTTATTTTCAGGTGTAAGAAATGAAAAATTATTTGAATTGTTTATGATCTTTCATCTCCTGTTAACTAATTTTAATTTATTGTGAGGCAATTAGATTTTTTTTTTTTTTACTTCTATATTTATTTTTTAATTTTTTTTAGTCATGTAAGGATAACTTGCATTTTTTTAAAAATATGCATTGACTAGAAATTTAATGATTCAAAGATAAAAATTAAAATTTGTTAATAATATCTTAACAATTTAGGGATGAATAATTTTCTTACATATGAATAAATAAGTAGGACAAATTGCTAGAAAAAAAAATAGTCTATTTGTCTCAACTTTAAAAAAAAAATTAAATTAAATTAAATAATAAATGTATCAATTAAAATTGATAAATATTTTTTTGTTTATATAGTGTGAAATAAGTATTATAAATATTGTGTTAATTATTACCGTCTTATATTAAACTATTAGGGTGTTAAGTTAAAATATCTATGGATCTTTAATAATATATATGCAAAATTTTGGGGGGGGGTGGGGGGCAGTGAAATTTTTATTTAAATAGCTTATTAGTTCAAACAAACAACATGGTCATTTTGAATTGGAAAGTAATGGCGTTTGTGCTAAATTAACAAATTGAAAGAATCTTGATATTGTCAGTAAAAGTAAGGAAGATTTCTAAAAATATTGAAATTATAGAGGATGTCTCTATATTTGTCCAAAACCTCAAGAGAGATAAGTGTAATTTACCCTAAATTTTAAATTAACATTAAAAAATTTTAAAAACAATTTAAAATGAGTACTTTATTTTCACCCACGTGTCTTTTTCTCTTTTTCTTTCTTTCTTCCTAGTCAAACGACCATAGCTACTCCTTTTTATTTTTATTTTTTAAAATTCTTACTTCCACTATACAAATTTATCTTCATTAGCAAAATCATTATGATTTTAGTATTCATAAAAACCTCTTTGCATTGGAATAATGTGGTAAATATATGATCCTGTCAAACTCCACAATAGAATTGTATGAAGCAATATATGATCTTCCCAAACTCCGTAATAGAATTGTATGGAGCATCAAAGTAACGAAACAGAGCTTGGAAATAATGCAAAATGTTGTGCTGGTGTGCTCATTACATCATTCTTTTTGTCTTTCGATATGTTCTTTGACGAAATTTTAGTAATAAAATAGATTTTTAAATAGAATTGCACTGAGAAATTGAGAAAAGAAAACAATAAATATTAAGAGAAATGATTCGTAACTCTAAATTTTGGAGCTCTAACAATGACTCTAATGATGTGGCATAGAGCAAAAAAAAAAAAATACATACATTAAATCATTCATGAGTAAGATCCACTGTCACATAAGTAGAGCCCTTATTAGAGCTCTACTTTTAGTGCTCTTAAACATTTTTGAAATATTAAACATAAAATGCATCTTGGCCAGAACTTATCATATCCGATATCAAATATTGAGATTTCAAAGTTCTAGAAAACTTACTGCCTTTGATGACTAGATAAGAACATGAACATTCATGTAATATTGTAGTTACAAACAACCCAACCCCCTAAATATTCATACAGATACAATTAGGAATCTCTCTCTCTCTCTCTCTCTCTCTCTCTCTCATCACTGATCGGTCAAGGAACTTTCAATGTCTTGTGTTGCAGTTTGAATTTGTGCATTCCTTCCTGCATGACCTTCTTCATCAATGGCATCAGTCAGTTGTTTAACTCCTAGTCTCTTTGACATATTATTGTTGTAACTTGCTTCAGCCAAAACCTGTTGTCGAAAAGAGGTCTTTTTAGCAAGGCATCAATGTGCAGTTCCTTGCAGAAGTTAGCAGAATTTCAATTTTGATTTAATATTTAGACAGGCAGCAATCAAATTTATTCAAACAAAATAGTGCCAGAAATCACAATCAATATCACCAAAGAGGAGATAAACACCCCCTTCATCTATGCCACTTCCAATAAGCCAACAACAAGAAGCAGCAGCAAAACTGCAGGGGTGAAACAAAAACACAAGCAGAAGCACTAAGCTCCGTTGTGAAGATATTCTCATTCGAACTAAGCTCCATTGCGAAGATATTCGCAAACTTCGAATGAGAATAAAAAAAAGGGGCAACCTTATGAAAGAAAGATAAATGTAACACACTAACTTCTTGTCATCTTAATCTAAATACAAAGAAACTTTCGGGTAATCTCTTATGGAGACATTTTCTACAACAAAATAAAGCAAATAGAAAAACAAAAGGAAAAATGGCACAACAAAATGAATAAAAAGCTAACCCAAATATCACAATCAGCGAGCTATATCTGGACCATCCAAAGCCAATTTACCAAAATGATACAACCAGCCATTATGGCAAACAGCTTCAGGACTAACACAATAAACCATTCGCACCTTAGGAGGAACTGGATGCACAAGACGATGATCCAAAGCATTGAACGAATTGCTTCACTTCATTATAGTGTCAAGTGGTAAATGATAAAACAATCTAGTAAAAACTAACCAACCAAATTCCCAAGAGATATTTTCATAATGATGCTTCAAAGGTCAAATTGTAGGGAACCAACAATTATCTAACATATGCCCACCAAACATAGCATCCATATTGACGGCTTAACAAATTTCTTTGGTGTTACGGATTTCAAGTATATCCCGAGGCACCAACTTTTTAATCATAGGAAAAAGCGTAGGAGACCTTCAACTGAGAGTAGATCCACTATTGCAGCCAAAGTAGATGTATCTGCTGAAAAGCCCCTCCCAATCATTTTCTCCGCAAGTATATTTGCTTCAGTGTAGTCATTTGCTTTAAGGAATCCACGAACCATAACATTGTAAGTTGCTTGATTAGGCATACAACCCGTCCCTTCCATTGTCACAAGTAAATCATTTGCCTCACCCAATAGCCCTTGTTCACAAAATCCACCTATCATCATAGTAAAAGTGCGAACATCAGGCTGCAAACCTTTAGCAGAAAGTTTACCAAATAGATTCTTTGCCATCTCAAGCTTCCCCTCTTTGCAAAATCTATCAATTAAAATACTGTGCATAGTAATATCAGGATTTATGCCACTGCATTCTAGCTCCTGAAACAACAACAATGCTTCATCAATACGGCCATTCTTGGATAATCCATCCAGTAGGACACAATAAGTATAATAATTTGGAGTTTGACCATTAGCTTGCATCTCATTTAGAAGTCCTTCAGCAGTCGAACAGCTACCAACCCCAAACAATCCCTGCAACATAGTATTGTAAGTATCAATTGTGGGTTTCAATCCTTTGCAAGGCATTTCAAGGAAAAGATTCATGGCCTCTTCAATTTTCATATTTTTGCAATATCCATTGATCAAAATGTTATAGCAATGAATGTTCGGCTCAATGCCCTTATCCACCATGGAACGAAAGACTTCTATTGCTTTGTCCATTTGGCCTCGCAAAAAATAACCATACGTCAATGTACCGTATGTGACTACATCAGGACCAACACCTCTTTGGACCATGAATTCAAGAACACTCTCTGCTTCTTTTGCCATCCCTTCCTTGCATAATGCATTTATCAATGTATTAAATGTAAGAACATCTGGAAAAACATTCTTGTCTGTCATGTCTCTCAACATTTTTGTTGCTTCCTCCCACCGGCCTAAATTACATAATCCATGAATCAAAGTGTTGTAAGTGATCAAATCTGGTGTAATATCCTGCTGGGTCATTTCCACTAAGAGGCTCAAAGCATCATCTACTTTTTTGTCCTTGCAAAGACCATCAATAATTGCGTTATGCATCACAACAGTAGGCTTATAGTTCCATTTTCGCATACTCCTAAGAATCCCTATGGCAGTTGTAGTATTTCCCGTCTTGGAAAGCCCATTTATAATAGTTCCGTACATAACTCCATCAGGTTTGATTTCTCCCTCTCTTACCAATTTATTAAACAGTTCCATGGCCTTGCCAGTCTTGTCTTGTAAAATGAACCCATTCATTAGAGTGTTGAAAGTAGTTACACATGGTACATAACCAAGTTTGAAGAAGCTACTCAAGACAGAAAACCCATAATCTACTCGATTCAAGTGACAAAGGCAATTAATTAAGACATTCAGGGTATAATCATTAACGGTAATACCCAACAAGCGTATTTCTTTAAACAGACAAATAACGGTGGAATAATGCTTCATCCTGGTAAGACCGGTTAACAGCTTAGTGAATTGGATAACCGAAGGAAGGGGTTGCATTTGGACCATCCGATGGAATAAACTAAGAGCATCATCGAGCTTACCAAACCCCAATTTGGATTTCTCTAACAGAAATTTGCGTAGTTGCCTCCGATCAGGAAGATTACGATTAGGGTTCGTTGAAATTTGAGTATGAAACAGAAGTGTATTGTTGTTATCAGCTGACAACAATGGGTTGAAGTTGAAATTGACGGGGGGAAGAAGAGTGATACCTTTTCTGTAATTATGAGCTAATAATCTTCGTCTGGAAATCAAAGCAGCAGTGGAGATTTCTTGCATCTTCTTCGCTCAAAAATTGTTCCTTTTTGAGACAGCGACACGTTGAAAGTGAGCCCTTGACCGATGTGATCAACAAGTCATCAATTTGTTACAGTCGTTTGATAGCAGAAGCTCTCGCTATTGCTGTGTTTGACAGGGGAGAAAGAGAAAGAAAATGCCAAAGCCAAAGAAAAAGACAAAACAAAGGAGACAATGCTCAATTTTATTTAAAATATTTATTAAAATTTACTTCAAATACGAATTATATTTATAATTTTAAAAATTATAAATATTTTTTTAATAAAATTATTTATTTAATAGAAATAATATATAAAAAAAAATTCTAACAACTCTCTTATACAGTGATAAAGTTATTTGATTTTATTAATTAAAATATATTTCTGATATCATTAAAAACTATTTATTAATTTTATGATTTATTAATAAAATAAATTATTTATTACGTAATTAGAAATTTGAAAAGGCATAATGTAATTTTCAAAGCTATAATGGACAATCTATAATTTAATCAAAATTTAAAAATGTATTTATAATTTATTTAAATTTTTTAAGGTTTTTTTCTTTTTTTTTTTCTAAGCCCATGAGTTGATCTGATTACAAATTCATCAAACTTAGAAATAACACACAAGTTGATCTGACTACAAATTCACATGATTAATTGGAGAAACCTAATTTAATAGGTAAACAGGTAATTTTACAATTTGAATTATTTAAATTATACAACTAAACACTTATTATATTAGTTGTAGGCCTAATTTCTTCAAAATAATAAGAAAATTGAGTATTTTATTGAGCAATGTAGTTTGTTAAAATTTTAAATTAACAAATTTATAATCAAATTATGCTTCAACAGTTTTTTATTTGTATTTTTTTTTTCCTCAATTGGTCCACATGAACAAAAATAAAATATAGGGACTGAATAAATAAAATGCATTGAGAAAATGAGAAAAGAAAACAGTAAATGTCAAACACAAAATGCATCATTGCCAAACAAGTTTTCAAAAACAAAAAGCTGTTTTGGGAAGATGGTTATAATCAGCTTTTTGGTGAAAAACTACTTATAAGTAGCTTATAAGCAAATTTTTTGTGAGAGAGGAAGTGAGTTATAATCTGGAAAGTGGATTATAACTCACTTCCCAAAATAGGCCTAATTATCATATCCAATATCAAATGTTGAGGTTTCAAAGTTTTAGACAACCAACTGCCTTTGATGACAGGATGCGAACATGAACATTCATGTGTCATATTGTAGTTACAAACAACCCAACCCCTAATATGTTCGTATAAAAATAAGGGGTACTTATGTGTAGATTCTAATTAGTGGACTTATTATCTAATAGGTCCTATGAAAAAAATTTGTCATAAAAAAAGTCACTAATTGTAAGTTTTAACGACAATTTATAAAAATCATGACAAAAAAAAGTCACTAATTATTAATTTTTAGCGACATATATAAAAAATTGTCACAAAAAAATTATTTTTAACAACAATTTAATCAAGACTTATTTTCAATAGAACTTGATCGAAATTAAATCCAACTATTAGGACCTATTAGTAGTTAACCCTAATTAGCAATCTCTCTCTTCCTCTCTCATCACTGATCTGTCAAGGAACTTCAGGTCTTGTGTTGCAGCTTGAATTTGTGCATTCTTTCCAGTAAGACCTTCTTCATTGGTATCAGTCAGCTGTATAGAATGAGAATTGCTAGAAGTCCTACTCTCTTTGGCATCAAAGTGTTGTAACTTGCTTCAGCCAAAACCTGTTGTAGAAAAGAGCAATGAAAGAGGTCCTTTTAGCAAAGGCATCAAGGTGCTGTTCATTGCATAAGTTGGCAGAATTATTCCACATAATTTCAATTTTGATTTAATATTTCTCCTCTCTCTTTCTTCCCCAACCCTAACCCTAATTTCTTAAAACTTTACACTTCAACTAATTTAAACTATTTTGATGGTTATTTAAATGAATTTTTTTTTTTTTTAATTCAGTTTTGACAGTCAAATAATCTTGTCCTAGGTAGAATAATTTTTAAAAGAATGACAAATAAGAAACCCATTTTTGTTATGTTTTAATTGATCTTTAATTTTAGAATATAGTGTGTTCCTACATGCACACATTGTGTTTGTTCTGTAATGTAGATAGAAGGTGAAGAAAAGATAAAAGTTCAGTATTGCAGCCTCTTCCCTGCATTTAATTAGGCTATGTTTGGATCTCAAGTTTTTAGAGGAATTTGTGGGTGGGGGTTGGGAGGAGTGGAAGAATTTGAAAATAAGTGGAAAAAAAAAAAAAAAAGAAGAAGAAACTAGGTGTGTTGTTAACATTGTCAGCAGACAAGTTTCACAGTTCCCTTCCATTTTCTATTTGCACAATGAGGAGTTGAGTTCCATGGTGATTGTGAAGATAAAGCAGAAGACTGAAGTTCAAACACAGCCTGCAGTAGAACGGTTGGATATTATTAGTGTTGGAGGATTTAAAATTGAGAGGACTTTGTTATGGTAATTTGTGTATTCCTAGTCTCCGTTGAGTACGAGGATTTAGAAGTTTTTGATTTTTCATTGGGCTCAGAGGAGGGAGGAACTTGGGGTTTAAATCCAGTGCTAAAAGTTTGATGTATCCTTTTTCTTTTTTTTTGTTGTGATTAACGGTGTTGGCTTTGTTGGATCATCCCATGTGAGCTCCCATTGGAGAACCCACTTTCTCCACCCAATGGAAGTGGCTCTCCCACTCTACCAACCCCATTAGAGAGTGGAAGAAGGTAGGTGGTGACCAATGAGGCTCTCCCTCATTGGTGTATAAATAGAGGTTGAGGGGAGAGTTGAAATTGAGAGAGAGAACCAAGAGAGAAGAGAGTGAGAGATGTGAGGTGGAGAGACCGTCTCTCTCGGTGTGAGAGAGGGAGACGGGTGAGTGGGTGAGTGAGGAGAGTGTGAGCTCCTCCCCTATTATAATCTTTCTGTAATCTCTCCATTGTTATAGTGATAACCGGTTACTCTCCCGTGGACGTAGGCTTTAAGGCCGAACCACGTTAAATATGGTGTCTCCTTCTGTGTGGGTGTGTTTTTCTACTTGGTATAATTTCTGGAAGGTCTTGGGCGGGATCCCCGATCCCAACAAGTGGTATCAGAGCCTCGTTGGTGGCGTTTCGGAACAAAAACAGCGTGTTGTTTGAAACTGCCCAGAAATCAAGTTGCTCGAAATCCGATTTTGAGCATACCAGGAGCAAGGGCTCGACGAGAGGAGTCCAGAAATATAAAGCAGACACCCAGAGGAGTCCCCACGCGCTCTCACGCGCCGCCTGAAGAAGGCGCGTGAGTCCCAGTCGCTGCACGCGCCCCCACGCGCCGTGCATAGAGCCGGCGCGTCATCTCACTCGCGTATACGCGCCCCACGCGCGGCGGAAGGAAGAAGGTAAGTGGGGGAGGCGCGTGTAAGGCACGCGCATGCCGCGTCAGCGTGCCACGTCGGCAACACGTGGCGACACGTCAGCAAAGGGATGCCACGTGTCTGCCCCGCCAGCCAGAGGCAGGGAGGGATCCAGTGCTTCGCGGCTACGGTGCAGCCGCAGATCTGAGGCGTACAAAATGTTTTGGCTAGATCGAAGCCATTTGGAGTCCGTTTTTGGTGATCCAATAGTGGTTTCCGACTATTTGGAGTATTCCGGACACATCCGTACGGTCAGATTTTGGAGACGGAGTTTCTGTAAAAGGAAGGCAGATTAAAGTGGCAGACGGCGTCAGGGGCAGTGTACGGAATATTCTGTTGGTACACGGAATATTCCCTGAACTTCTGAAAATTGCAATTTGGCCTAGAATTTTCAGAAAATTGTGGTGTGGCCCAGCTTTCGGGGATAGTTTTCAGTGAGGTCCCCGGAAATGCAGCAAAGGTTGGTTCTAGCTAAACGGACTGCTCCGGACGCAACCGCGAGGTCAGAATAGTAAAATTCTGAATGGTTTGGGAAGATTGTCAAAACATGGGTGTTTGTCATCTTCAATAGTCAAAGGAAGGTTGCCGGATATTATGGAATGTTGCGGATTCATTGAAAAGGTTAGAATGGGCAGATTCTGACCAGATTGGACAACCAGATACAAGATTGAGATAGATCATAGAAGACCAGAGGAGATCAGGCTTGATCAAATGGCAGATCGAGGGAGATCAGGATTGGTCAGGGGCGATCAGAGGATTGCAGACATGATTATCTCAAGATCAAAGGTCTAGGAAAGTTCTGTCAAAAAGACACTGTCTAAGGAGACTGGTTCTTAAGTGGGACCGGTTGTGACCCCACCAGTCTTTCCTGGGAACTTTCCTGGTTGTTGAGGTGATCGGAGGATCTGGTTCAATCAAAAGAGAAGACCATTCATCAACGTATAGATGATTTGGCAACAAGTACAGGCTTAAGGGAATGCTGTGGCTGTTGGAGCTACTGTAAACGAGAAGGTACTAATGGTATGTGGACATGTAGAACAATAGTTGCAGAGGAGCATACAAAGCGCAGAAGTACAATTGCAGACGTGCAACAATGTGGTCGGGTATCCGCAAGTATTGAGTATCTGTGGATCCGGGGATGGGATTGAAAAATTCCATCCGTAGCTAGCAAGTGTACTGCTTGATCACAAGTTAGTGAGGCTTCGTTATGAAAACCGAGGGATTCTTTCTCTGAAAATAGAGAGAGAAAGTGCGAGAAAATCGTGGAAAAAGTGATTCCTTTGTTTTCTCTGAATCGTGTTTTGATCATGGAGGTCACAGAAGTATATAATGAGAGATAGAGCTCATTGATTCTGCTCTGGGTTTTCTGGTTTCTGGGTTTTTCAAGAAAGGTGTTTTTAGCTACCATCCCATATCATCTCAGGTGCTCTCTCTCTCTCTATCTCTCTCTGTCTCTCTCTCTATATATATATGGGTTTTGGATTTTTTATGGCATGAACTGCGTGTTTGTTTTTTAACAGAGAAACCATTAAAGCGAGCTCTAATGGCGGATTGTGGTGGCTCTTTACCATCACCAACAGACAAATACAGAAGACCTACTTCATCAATTTTCAGTTCTCCAAGACTGTTCACTGGTTTTGCTTCAAATGAATCTCTGCGCAGCCCAACTTCAATCCTCGATACCAAACCCTTCTCTGCTCTAAGAACCCCAATTTGGTCCGAGACACACCTCACAAAATCCCCAAAACTCGAAAATCGAACCCACTTTATTAAACTAGATTCAAGAGGGGTTGGTCTCGGCATTGTCGATGCTCTTAGTGATGAAATGTCTGACTCAAAACAATCCAAACCCGATAGCCGAATGGTTCTGTTTGGATCACAATTGAAGATTCAAATCCCTCCTCTGCCTCCCTCTGTTCTTATCTCCCCTTCCGAGTCTCCGAAATCGCCAGCCGATTTCGGAATCAAGACTCGGAATTCTCAATTGGGTTCCTTTTCCCTTTCCCCCGGGCTATCGCCGGCAAAGAAATCGCCATTTGGGTCGGAGAATTCTTGCCTAGAAAACCCGAACTCGCCTCGGGTTTTCGCCGGGTGTCTCTCTGCTAGTGAAATGGAGCTTTCGGAGGATTATACTTGTGTGATTTCTTATGGTCCGAATTGAGAGAGAACCAAGAGAGAAGAGAGTGAGAGATGTGAGGTGGAGAGACCGTCTCTCTCGGTGTGAGAGAGGGAGACGGGTGAGTGGGTGAGTGAGGAGAGTGTGAGCTCCTCCCCTATTATAATCTTTCTGTAATCTCTCCATTGTTATAGTGATAACCGGTTACTCTCCCGTGGACGTAGGCTTTAAGGCCGAACCACGTTAAATATGGTGTCTCCTTCTGTGTGGGTGTGTTTTTCTACTTGGTATAATTTCTGGAAGGTCTTGGGCGGGATCCCCGATCCTAACAAACGGCACACCTATTTCCATTCAATGTTGCAGTAACAATTTAATTTCCTCAACAGACGATATTGCAACATTTAACTAAGAAGTCTATGATATAATAGGTTAAAATGTACTTGCGCTTTATGATTATGTTGTTTGGTGTGTTTTCTGATGTAGACATTCCCTTGATGAAACGGGTACTGTCATATTACACGCTTATAGCTCTACAGCTAAATTTTCCTTCTCAAATTACCGAAAACCTTTACCAATCTTAGATATTTGTTGTTATAGTTGCAATAACAAAAGAAAAAACATAAAAAAAAAAGAGAATTGAATCAATTAAGGGCAATATAGTAGAACATATAAAAAAAAGAGAGAAGAACAAACAGAAAGAGCATTTTCAATTTTATAATATTGCAATCTACAAATGGCAGTACAACTTGAAGTATCCAAATTGACATTTTGAATCCTGCCAAAATGACCTCAAGCCCCAATTCATTGCGCAGAAGCATGATTATATAGCATCTTCTACCGCAGTTTGGTTTTTGGCAGTGGCCAAAAACATTGTAAATAGCAACATTTGCAAGCAATCAACCAAGAATCAACTGTTTCAAAGTAGAACCCATCAATTCCTTGTCCTAAAATGATCTTCCATTTTTTCCATCCTATTACTGAAACAAATCTACAAGAATGATATTTCAATTTAAAAGACTAAAATTGTAAACTGAACCTTCACTTCATCATAGGCAATGTATGCTTAAGACGATTATAGTGTAAAATTAAAAATGATAAAAACAATAAAATAAATACTTACCTAGCAAATTCTGAGCAGACATATGACCACCAAAGATAGCATCCATGTTGATAGCTTAACAAATTCCTTCAGTGTTATCCTGGGGAACCAACTTTTTAATCATTTGAAAGAGTGTAGGATCTTGACCTTTAGCTGAGAGTAGATCCACTATTGTAGCCAGAGTAGATGCATCTACTGAAAACCCCGTCCCAATCATTTTCTCCACAAGTATATTTGCTTCGCTGTAGTCATTTGCTTTAAGGAATCCACAGACCATAACATTGTAAGTTGCATAATTCGGCAAACAACCGGTCTCTTCTATTGTCATCAGTAACTCTTTTGCTTCACCCAAAAGCCCTTGTTCACAAAATCCACCAATCATCATAGTATAAGTATTAACATTAGGCCGCAAACCTCTAGAATGAAGCTTACCAAATAGATTCTTTGCCATCTCAAGCTTCCCATCTTTGCAAAATCTATGAATTAAAATATTGTGCATAGTAATATCAGGATTAATGCCACTGCATTCTAGCTCTTGAAACAACAACTATGCTTTATCAATTCGACCATTCTTGGATAATCCATCCAGTAATACACAATTAGTGTAAAAATCTGGATGCTGACCCTGAGCTTGCATCTCATTCAGAAGCCCTTGAGTAGTGGAACACCTACCAACCCCAAACAATCCCTGCAACATAGCATTGTAATTATGAATTGTGAGTTCCAATCCTTTACAAGGAATTTCACGGAAAAGATTCATGGCCTCTTCAAATTTCATATTCTTGCAATATCCATTGATCAAAATGGTATAGCCTATAGTGCTAGGCTCAATCCCCTTATCCACCATGGAATGAAACACTTCTATTGCTTTGTCCATTTGGCCTCGCAAAAAAAACCCATCCACCAGTGCAACGTGTGTGACTGCATTGGGACCAACACCTCTTCGGACCATGACCTCAAACATGGCCACGGTTTATTTTGCTATGCCTTCCTTGCAAAGTGCATCTATTAGGGTAGTAAAGGTCAGAACATTCGGAAAAACATTCTTTGGTTTTAGTTTTTAGAATTCACTTTTCAGAAAATTTTACTTTTTTATTTTCCGTATTTTTTTGTTTTCACTGAATATTTTTAATACTTTAAACAATTTTTTTTTAATTTTTAGACACACCTAATATAAATACACTTAAAAAGTATAATATTTGTGAAAAAAAAACTTTAAAAAATTCACTAAATACCAAAAAAAAAAAAAAACAAAAAAAAAAAAAAAAACAAAAAATTCAATTTTTTTTTGTTTGTATTTTTGTGTATTTATTAATTTTTTAAAATATTTTTTCACAAATATTTTACTATTTAGATACATCTAAGTAAAGTGCATATAAAAAAATAAAAATAAAAATGCTTAAAATTTTAAAAATATTCACTAAAAACAAAAAAATACGAAAGACTAAAATTTCAATTTTCAAAAAACTAAATTCAGAAAACTGATACTAAACACACTGATTATTGTCTGTCATGTCTCTCAACATTCTTGTTGCTTTCCTTCCGTCGGCCTAAATTACATAATCTGTGAATCAAAGTGCTGTGAGTGATCGCGTCTGGTGTAACATCCTGCTTGGTCATTTCCACTAAGAGGCTCAAAGCATCATCTACATTTCTATCCTTGCAAAGACCGTCAATAATTGTGTTATACATCATAACATCAGGCTTATAGTTCCATTTTTGCATACTCCCAAGAAGCCCAATAGTAGTTGTAGTATTTCCGTCTTGAAAAGCCCATTTAAAATAGTTTTGTACATAACTCCATCAGGTTTGATTTCTCCCTCTCTTACCAATTTATTAAATAACTCCATGACCTTGCCAGTCTTGTCTTATAAAATGAACCCATTCATTAGAGTGTTGAATGTATATACACATAGTACATAACCAAGTTTGAAGAGGCTACTCAAGACAGAAAACCAGAATCTATTTGATTCCAGTGGCAAAGGCAATTAATTACAATGTTCAGGGTATAGCCATCAATCGTAATACCGAACAAGTGTATTTCTTTAAACAGATAAATAACGGTGGAATAATGCTTCCTTCTGGCAATACCACTTAACAGCTGAGTGAATTGGATAACTGAAGGAAGAGGCTGCATTAGGACCATCCAATGGAATAAACTAAGAGCATCGTCAAGCTTACCATAACCCAATTTGGATTTGACTTCGATCACGAAGATTAGGATTACGGTTCGTTGAAATTTGAGTATGAAACAGAAGTGTATTGTTATCAGCGTTACAATGGATTAAAGTTGAAGTTGAAATTGAGTGAGGGAAAAAGAGTGATAACCTTTTCGGTAATTATGAGCTAATAATCTTCTTCTGGAAATCAAAGCAGCAGTGGAGATTTCTTGCATCATCTAATGGTTATTTTTGAGACATCAAGACATGAATGTTGTGTTTTGTTAGGGGATTTGAGAAGGGATTTAGATAAGGAAAAGGAGAAAAGTAGACAAATGTATGAATAAAATATATTTATATTTCACCTAGTTTCACACACTTTTTTCCTTTCCGTTTCTAAATCATTTCCCAAAACCCCAACCAAACACAACAGAAAAGAACGCAAGTGAGTCCTTGACCGATCTGATCATGAATTCATGAATTTGATAGAGTAGTTTGATGGTAGAAGCTCTCATTATTGCTACGTTTGGCAGGGCAGAAAAAAGGAGGAAATTAAAGTACTTACCACTAATCCATATACCATATATTATAATAATTGAGTTCCATTTTAACTTGAGGCAATGCACTAGAAAAGAGATCAATTGTTGAGAATCAGTATAGGTAGTGATACTGAGCATGTGTTTCTCTTTTGCCCATAAAATAGCATCCAAACAAGCTCTATCCTTGGCAATACAATTTTTGTCAAATTCTGCGCTACTTGCTCATGCCACCAATTGTAACATACCCACACTATTCCTATATTGCCATCCGCTGCTCGCCACAAACCATCCACCACAAATTTGAAATCCTGAAATTCTATTATTCTATATCGCAAGGAACAAAATTTATAACAAGACAAGTTAGATAATTGTAAACTCTGTTCAAAATGGTCAGCAGCCCCATCAAATGTATATAGTTGCAAAAATTATGGGCTAACACAATTGTTTGATGACAAAAAGACAAGGTTACTAGGAATGGCAACAGGCGGGGGATCACACTTCCCGTCCCCGCTTCCCGATGGTGAAAATTCACTCGTTCTCGGCCCCGATCCTCAATGAGGAACCTATCACTGTCCCCGTCCCCACCCCTTAACGGAGATCGAGTTTCTCCAACCCCGAAAATTCTCCAACCAAAAAAATAAATTTAAAAAACAAAAAATAAAAAAATATAGAAGCAATCTGTTTCACTTTCAACATCAACATCATTAACAACAACATCATCCCCAATCTGTTTCATTTTCAACCAGTGTTATTAAAGGCGCACCTAAGCGTACGCTTTGGCCCAAGTCACATCCACGCCCAATGTTTCCTCCTTGTAGTGTTCCAAGTCAGGCGACTTCGATAAGGTGAGCCTAGGCGTGCGCCTACGCCCCAGTCTCGTTCAATCCCAAGATTTGTGCCTTGTCATGTTCTAGGCCAGACGACTGTCATAAGGCACCTGATTGGCCCAAAACTTGCATCTTTAGGGCTTTTTTTTATTGCTGCTTTAATTGGTTTTGTTTAAAATCTAACCATTGATTTCATATGGTGCAGCTACATAAGATCCTTACTCTTATTACAGATGCTAATACATTGGGCATTCAACCCCAAATCAATGATAGAAGAAAAATTAGCCATAATTCCTAATCTCTAAAAAACACTAAATATTTAACATTTCATTTTGTTTATGTTGAATTCTAAATTATTTACTTATATTAATTTTTTTTTTCCGTACAAGGTGTGCCTCACTTCGGTAAAGCCTACGCCTCACCTTGCGCCTTGAGCCTAGGCCCCAGGAGACCTTGGCGCCTTGGTGCGCCTATTGCCTTTAATAACACTGTTTTTAACATCAACATCATAAACAAAATCATCAACAACAACAGATCTCAGATCTGAGTGTGTATCATCAACACAGATTTGAGATCTTTGTGTGTCATCAAACAGATCTGAGATATATATGAATGAAGGATAGCAGGGTATAATAGTAATTTTACTTCGGGGGGAAACGAGGACGGGGTTGGGGCCAGGGACTAGCCAAGGCTAGGAAACGTATCATTGTCCCCAGCCTGAAAATTATCGAGGATTCATTTCCGAATACCATCCTCGGCCCGTCAAGGATATTTTTTGAGAAAAAAATGCTCTAATCGAGGTCGGGGAGGCAAGTCCCCGCCGGGCCGGTTTCAAATTGTCATCCCTAATGGTTGCATGAAAAATAGCACTATTACCCTGATTCCATATAGAGTCGGCCTTGGCCCAAGACGAGCAAGGTCCACCTTAGGCCTCAAATTTTAAAGGTTCCCCAAATAATTTTAATTCTTATGATGTTAATAAGTTAAAAAATAAAGATTCAAACCAATTCATATAACTTCACAATCTAAATTAAAGATTTTTAGAGTATCCCAACTCTTTTATTTTTTTTTTCCTAAGTTAATTTGATTATAAATTTGAATACAAAATTTGATTTGATATGAATTGCTTTAACCCTTTCATCAAATTTTCCTGAAAATCTTTTTAAAAATTCTGTTCATATCCGAAATTTTTCTTTTCATCAAATTTCACGGATTTTTTTTTCTTCAATATGTTTTTAAATTTTTATCAAATTTAAATTTGACAAATTCTAAATTTGATTAAAAAAAATGTTTCTCTTAAAGACCAAATCAAAAAAATATATATTTATAGATCTCATTCATTCCAAGTATGACTCGCATTACATTAATTTTGAATTTATATTATACACTTGAAAATAAAAACTAAAATAATTTTTTTTAAATATTATTTATACATAAAAGGCTCCAATTTTAAAAATCCGTCTTGAGCCTCGAAATCTTATTCCCATATTGCCCACAAAAGAGGCCCTGATTCCATGCTGCCCCCAAAAGAGCAATTAGATGTTTAGAAGAGTATCATCATCTGAAACCTCATGTGAGAAAGGATAGTGAGCGCCCACAAAAAAATCAACACCTAATGAGCTACCACTCCAAGCCCGTTGTGACTCTGGGCATTGAAAAAATAAATGCCCCAAATTTTCCTTGACAGTTAGGCATCTTGGACAAGCTGTATCCACTAATAAATGTCGAGTTTTCAAAACACTTTTAACCGGTAGAATATTGTAAAGACATTTTCAAAGAAAAATAAACCATTTGAGTGGTATTGTATTGTCACCTTCCAAATCCAAGTCCAAATAGGGTTATCTCTAGGCATATTAGGTGATATTCGGATTTCGTGTTTTTCTAAACCTTCCAATATCCAGATTTGACTGTCTATTTCCCAGAATTGGTAAAACCCCATATTGGTTTGTCCTCACTTGACATTTCAGGCACATGAATACCTTGAATATACCTTTGACTATCTTCAGAAAAAAAGAGTCAAAGCAAATTCAATCACCAACAAAGCTTGGGTTTGTCAATGAAGTGAGCAAGACTAAGATGGGAAAAGTGTCGAGAGAGACCTTCGCCACTTGAAGGGTTATTTATAAGTGGAATCCATTTCTAAAGGATTGATTGATTCCCCATTTTCCACAATCAACCTTAGTCCCGAAACAAGTAAATCACGATCCCATAACATACGTTTCCACCCTCAAAAAAAGAATGAGATGGTTTTAAATTTATTTTAACAAAAATAAAATTTATAACAACTCTCTTATACAATAATAAAATTTTTTAAATTATTAATTGAAATATATTTTTTTCACATCAATAAAAACTATTAATTGATTTGATTATTTATTATGTAATTATAAACTTAAAAGGCAGAATAATTTGTAATTTAAGCAAATTTCAAAGAATGTATTTGTAATTTATCCAATTTTTGTAATTTATTTATTTATTTTAATCCAATAATGAGAAGCAGCAAAACTGCAGGGGAGAAACAAAAAATAGAAGCAAAAGCACTAATCTCTAGAGTCCATATTGTGACATGTTCTCAAACTTCAAATGAGGGGCAAAAAAACAAAAAAGTGAAAGAAAAAAAAAATTAATTAGGCAATGTTTGGATCTCAAATTTTTAGAGGAATTTGTGGGTGGGGGGTTTGGGAGGGGGGGAGAAAAAAAAAAAAAAAAAAAAAAAAAAAAAAAAACCAAGGAAGAGAGAGGGGGGGTAAAGGGGGGGGGGAAAAAAAAAAAAAAAAAAAAAAAAAAAAAAAAAGAAGAAGAAGAAGAAGAAGAAGAAGAAACAACTGTGTGTAGTAAACATTGTTGGCAAAAAAGTTTCACAATTCCCTTCCATTTTCTGTTTGCGCAACGAGGAGTTGAGTTCCATGGTGATTGTGCAGATAAAGTAGAAGACTCAAGCTCAAACACAGCCTACAGCAGAAGGGTTGGATATTATTAGTGTTCGAGGATTTAAAATTGAGAAGACTTCGTTACAGTAATTTGCGTACTTCCTAGTCTCTGTCGAGTACGAGGATTGGAAGTTTTCATTTTCTCACTGGGGTCATAGGAGGGGGGGACTTGAGGTTTAAATCCAGTGCTGAAAGTTCAATGTATCTTTTCTTTTTGTCATGATTAATGTTATACTTATTTCAATTCAATGTAGAAGTAACAATTTGATTTCCTCAACAAACGATATTCTAACATTTAACCAAGAAGTCTATGATATAATAGGTTAAAATGTACTTACGATTCAATAAAGTCATGATTCTGTTGTTCGGTGTGTTTTTTGATGTAGATTCCCCCATGATGAAACTGGTACTGTCATATTACATGCTTATAGATCTACAACTAAACTTTCCTCAAATTACCGAACATCATTACCAATCTTAGATATTTGTTGTCATAGTTGCAATCACAAAAACAAAAGAATGAGATTTGAAACAATTAAGGGCAAAATAACATAACGACATATAAAAAAAGAGAGGAACAAACAGAACGAGCATTTTCAATTTTATAATATTGCAATCTACAAATGGCAGTACAACTTGAAGTACCTAAATTGACTTTTTGAATCCTGCCAAAATGACATCAAGGCCCAATTCATTGCGCAGAAGGATGATTATATAGCATCTTCTACCTCAGTTTTGTTTTTGGCAGTGGACAAAAAACATTGTAAACAGCATTATTTGCAAGCAATCAACCAAAAATCAACTGTTTCAAAGTAGAACCCATCAATTCCTTGTCCTAAAATGGTCTTCCATTTTTCCTTCCTATTACAGAAACAAATCTACAAGAATCATATTCAAATTTAAAAGACTAAAATTGTAAATTGAACCTTCACTTCATCATAGGCAATGCATGCTTAAGACGATTATCCTGTAAAATTGAAAATGATAAAAACAATAAAATAAATACTTACCTAGCAAATTCTCAACAGAAATATGACCACCAAAGATAGCATCCGTGTTGATAGCTTAACAAATTCCTTTGGTGTTATGCCGGGGAACCAATTTTTTAATCATATGAAAGAGAGTATGATCTTGACCTTTATCTGAGAGTAGATCCACCACTGTAGCCAAAGCAGATGCATCTGCTGAAAAGTCCCTCCCAATCATTTTCTCCACAAGTATATTTGCTTCACTGCAGTCATTTGCCAAAACAAGTTTTCAAAAACAAAAACTAGCTATCATATACAATATCAAATGTTGAGCTTTCAAAGTTTTAGACAACTGCCAGCCTTTGATACTTCCTATCATCATCATAGTATAAGTATTAACATCAGGCCACAAACCTCTAGAATGAAGCTTACCAAATAGATTCTTTGCTACCTCAAGCTTCCCATCTTTGCAAAATCTATGAAGTAAAATATTGTGCATAGTAATATTAGGATTAATGCCACTGCATTCTAGCTCCTGAAACAACAACGCTTCATCAATACGGCCATTCTTGGATAATCCATCCAGTAATACACAATAATTACAAAAATCTGGACACTGACCCTTAGCTTGCTTCTCATTCAGAAGCCCTTCAGCAGTGGAACACCTACCAACCCCAAACAACCCCTGCAACATAGCATTGTAAGCACAAATTGTAGGTTTCAATCCTTTACAAGGAATAAGATTCATGCCCTCTTCAATTTTCATATTCTTGCAATATCCATTGATCAAAATTGTATAGCTTATAGAAAGAATCAACTGTTTCAAAGTAGAACCCATCAATTCCTAGTCCTAAAATGATCTTCCATTTTTTCCTTCCTATTACGGAAACAAATCTACAAGAATCTTATTCAAATTTAAAAGACTAAAATTGTAAATTGAACCTTCACTTCATCATAGGCAATGTATGCTTAAGACGATTATAGTGTAGAATTGAAAATGATAAAAGCAATAAGGGTAAGGTTTGCTTAAAATACGAATTGCCCCCTGTGATTTGGAAAATTATAAATACCTCCCTGTCAGAATTTTTTATTTAACAGAATTAATTGAAAAAGTGATATTTATAACTGTTCACCTATACAAAAATAAAATTATCTGAATTATTAATTAAAATAAAATTTTAATATTATTAAAAACTGTTAATTAACTTAATGATTTATTAATAAAAAGACCTATTTGTTATGAAATTAAAAACCTTATGGGGGCATAATGTAATTTCTAAAACCACAGGAGTAATTTGTGATTTAAGTAAACCTCAAGGGGTGTGTTTGTAATTTACCCAAACAATAAAATAAATACTTACCTAGCAAGTTCTCGGCAGACATATGACCACCAAATATAGCATCCGTGTTTATAGCTTAACAAATTCCTTCGGTGTTATCACGAGGAACCAATTTTTTAATCATATGAAAAAGAGTATGATCTTGACCTTTATCTGAGAGTAGATCCACCACTGTAGCCAAAGTAGATGCATCTGCTGAAAAGCCTCTCCCAATCATTTTGTCCACAAGTATATTTGCTTCACTGTAGTCATTTGCTTTAAGGAATCCACGGACCATAACATTGTAAGTTGCATAATTCGGCAAACAACCAGTCTCTTCCATTGACATCAGCAACTCTTTTGCCTCACCCAAAAGCCCTTGTTCACAAAATCCACCTATCGTTATAGTATAAGCATTAACATTAGGCCGCAAACCTTTAGAATGAAGCTTACCAAATAGATTCTTTGCCATCTCAAGCTTCCCATCTTTGCAAAATCTATCAATTAAAATATTGTGCATAGTAATATCAGGATTTATGCCACTGCGTTCTAGCTCCTGAAACAACAACAATGCTTCATCAATACGGCCATTCTTGGATAATCCATCCAATAGGACACAATAAGTATAATAATCTGGAGTCTGACCATTAGCTTGCATCTCATTCAGAAGTGCTTGAGCAGTAGAACACCTACCAACCCCAAACAATCCCTGCAACACAGTATTGTAAGTACCAATTGTGGGTTTCAATCCTTTACGAGGCATTTCACGGAAAACATTCATGGCCTCTTCAATTTTCATATTCTTGCAATATCCATTGATCAAAATGTTATAGCTTATAGTGCTAGGCTCAATGCCCTTATCCACCATGGAATGAAAGACTCCTATTGCTTTGTCCATTTGGCCTTGCAAAAAATAACCATCCATCAATGCACCATATGTGACTGCATCAGGACAAACACCTCTTTGGACCATGACTTCAAGAACAACCTCTGCTTCTTTTGCCATGCCTTCTTTGCAAAGTGCATCTATTAGTGTAGTAAAGGTCAGAACATTCAAAGAAACATTCTTGTCTGTCATGTCTCTCAACATTCTTTTTGCTTCCTCCCATTGGCCTAAATTACATAATCCATGAATCAAAGTGCTGTAAGTGATCACGTCTGGTGCAACATCCTGCTGGGTCATTTCCACTAAGAGGCTCAAAGCATCATCTACATTTCTGTCCTTGCAAAGACTGTCAATAATTGTGTTATACATCACAACATTAGGCTTATAGTTCCATTTTTGCATACTCCTAAGAATCCCTATGGCAGTTGTAGTATTTCCCGTCTTGGAAAGCCCATTTATGATAGTACCATACATAACTTCATTAGGTTTGATTTCTCCCTCTTTCACCAATTTATTGAACAATTCCATGGCCTTGCCAGTCTTGTCTTGTAGAATGAAGCCATTCATTAGAGTGCTGAAAGTATATACAGATGGTACATAACCACGTTTGAAGAAGCTAGCTACGACAGAAAACCCATAATCCACTCGATTCAAGCGGCAAAGGCAATTAATTACAATAGTGAGGGTATATTCATTAGTCGAAATACCCAACAAGCACATTTTTTGGAACAGAGAAATAACAGTGGAATAATGCTTCATTTTGGCAATACTACTTAACAGCTGAGTGAAGTCGATAACAGAAGGCAGGGGTTGCATTCGGACCATGCGATGGAATAAAGTAAGAGCATCATCGAGCTTATCAAAACCCAATTTGGATTTCTCTAACAATAATTTCTGTAGTTGCCTCCGATTAGGAGGGTTAGGGTTAGGGTTTGTGGAAATTTGGCTATGGAATGATGCTGACAAGAATGGATAAAACTTGAAGTTGAGCGAGGGAAGAAAAGTGGTACCTTTTCGGTAATTATGAGCAAATCTTAGTGCGAAAAGCACAGAAGCAGTAGAGATTTCTTGCATCTTCGTCACTCAGAAACACTTGTTTCGATTGCGATTAAGTCTTGAGTGATCTGATCATGGATTCATCAATTCGCTACTGAGACCACTTTGCTCCTCCTTTCGTTTTTGCAGATGCAGTTGCTAACTAATTTTGACAGAGGGGAGACAGAACAGAAAGAGACAGAGGGCTTTTTGGGAACACCAGTAAAAAAATTAACTTTTTGACTTTTTAATTTTTTTTAAGTAAAAAAAAGTCAATTTTTTTATCCAAAATAACTCAATTTTTTTATCACAAAAGTCACTTAAAAAAGTTAAAAAGTAAAAAAAATAACTTTTTATCAATTTTTCAAAACACTACAGAGAGAACGGTGAAAAAAAAAATTACTTATTATTATGGGAATTTTTACATATATATATATATATATTTGGGATATAAATAATTTTTTAGATAAATTATAAATATATTTGCTTAAAATATAAAGGACAAATTACCTATATTACTTGAGGTTTAACGAAATTACAGATTCTTTTTTGAAATTTCAAAAATTGCATTCCGTCTTGTGGCAATTAATACCGTTAATAGATATCATAAATTGACTAAAAATGTCCTTTTGACAAATAAGGGCAAACTATCTACACCCTTGAGGTTTCGTTAAATTACATATTCCCTCTAAGATTTAGTTAAATTGCTATTTTTAATAAGTTATGAAATATAAAATTAAAATACAAAAACATTTATCACACTACAAAAAATTAAGGTTAAAATGTCCTTATTATATTTTTAACAATGAAAATTGAACATTCGTGATTAATTATTATCTTTTTGGTATCAAATTTTTTGTCTCAAAAAATAAACCATTTTGAGACCAAATTATTTTGTTCTTAAAAGTCTATTTACTATTGACATTTACAAAATTTTATTGCTAAAAACCTTATTTTTTATTTTTCAGAACAACCTTTTAGCAATTATTCTCTCGACGATAAAAATTAGTTCATAAATGTCTTTTACAACAAAATTTTCACTTTTAGAGATCAAAAAAATTGGTCTCTAAAACTCTTATATGTTGTAATATCAGATGTTGAAAATATCATAAAATTAACAAATAATTAAATAAGTTAAAAATACAAGAAATGACTTGTCAAAAAATTCTTAAAATATGTTTGGTTTGATTTTTAATTTTTTTTTAAATAATTAAAAATTAATTTGGTTAAGAAATAAAAAATAAAAAAATATTATTATTTTTATATAATTTTATCTTTTGAGTGGTTAGAAATAATCTTTATAAATTAAATATATTTTTTCATATTTATTTTTCTTAAATTAGTTTTTATTTTTTTTTAAATTCTGAAATTTTTTTTCCAAACAACGAATCAAACATGGTTTTAAAAACTTAAAAAATAATTTCTCATTTAACGTAATTCTTTTGTAAATTTTGTTGATATATCAAAGGAATTTTAGCAAGAGCAATATTGTTCATCAATTTATATTTTTAGATTGTCAGTTAACTATTCTTAATGTTTAGTTAATGATAAGGGTTAAATTGTTATGCGAATATAAACCTCAGGGGAGAGAGGTGGGGCAAGATGTGATTTCTGAAATCTCAAGAATCTCAAGAGGGTGTAGGTAATTTGCCCAAATATAAATTACTTTCTATAATTGTAGAAATTACATCCTACCTGGTAAAGTTTTTAATTTCATAATAAATGGTCCGTTTTATTTATAAATTTATCAATCTTTGATTTTGTGTATGTATGAAGCGCGTGTCCTGTGGGTAGGTGAGTATAAGTATGAATGTGAATAAGTGAATTGACGTTTATAAATTTTTTTCCAAATCATTTAGTAATAAATTTATCATTGATATGTTTAGTAAAAATTATCACTAAATGTATCTTTAATTTTTTTTTTGGTTAATCTTGTATGGATCTATAATAGTGAAGACTAATGTGAACTAGAACTAAGGAGGTGGTGGTAGTAGTCAGGCGGTGAAGTTGAACATTTGTTTTTGTTTGAAAATTATTAGAAAAATATCATCAAAAGTCGTTTGAGATTAGAGATAATTGCCAATTGTTAGAAACAGTCGCCGGAGATCAAAGGTAGTTGCAGAAAGTCAGACGTTGCCATCGGTGACCAGAAATAATTATTGACAGCAGTGTTATGATTGATGTGATGGATAAACTAAGGTTTGAAAATATTGATAGCTTAAAAAAAGAAGCATGACCTAAAGGTAAATAAGTTCATTTAATAGGATTAACTTATTTGTGTCTCTAAAAATTGTTAATAGATTTGGCGATTTATTAATAAAATAGATAATTTATTATGCAATTAGAAATTTGAAAAAACAAATGTAATTTTTAAAGCCATAATAAATAATCTGTAATTTAAAGAAACTATAAAAAATATATTTATAAATTATATAATTAATTTAAAGCTTTTTTTTTATTTTTTTATCTTTTAAGGCAAATGAGTTGATTTGACTACAAATCGATCAACCTTAGAAGTAACAAGAAAAGTAAAGAAACTTTCTCCTATATCTCCAATTATAACATTTACCAAAACTTGAAAATCTGTAAAAATGAAATTGCAAGATAGAAATCGAATAGACTTCTTTTTTTTTTTTTTTAAGGTTGATTTCACTTTTATCCCATGAATTTGTCTATTTAATTTTTAAACTATTAATTTACCTATTTAGTTCTTGAACTTTTTAATTTATGTTCATGTGATTTTATTAAAATTAATTTCACACTTTGGTTAAACCTAATTTAAGGGGTAAATAAGTAATCTTATGATTTGAATAATTTAAACAACTATACACTATTATATCATTTAGTTTGTCTAAATTATATATTAGCAAATCTATAACCAAATTATGCTTCAACAATTTTTGATTTGTATTTTTCTTTCCCACTTTGGTCCACATGAACAAAACTAATTTTTGGCCAAAACAAGTTTCAAAAACAAAAACTAGTTATCATATACAATATCAAATGTTGAGCTTTCAAAGTTTTAGACAACTGCCTGCCTTTGATGACTGGGTGCGAACATGAACATTAATGTGCCATATTGTAGTTACAAACATCCCAACCCCAAGTATATTCATATAAAAACAATTACCAATCTCTCCCTCCCTTTCTCGTCACTGATCTGTCAAGGAACTTCAGGTCTTGTGTTGCAGTTTGAATTTGTGCATTCTTTCCAGCATCGCCTTCTTCTTCATTGGTATCAGTCAGTTGTATAGAATGGGAATTGCTGGAACTCCTAGTCTCTTTGACATGAAAGTGTTGTAACTTGCTTCAGCCAGAACCTCTTGTAGAAAAAGAGCAATGAAAGAGGTCTATTTTATTCTTATTTTTTTAGAAATTAACGGGCCGCAGCCAAAAGAAAAAGAGATCTATTTTTACTAACAGTAAGAAATCACAATCAATATCACGAAAGAGGAGATAAACAACTCCTTCATCTATGGCACTTCCAATAAACCAACAACAACAAGAAGAAGCTGCAAAACTGCAGGGGTGAAACAAAACCAGAAACAAAAGCACTCACCTTTGCAGTCCATATTGTGAAGAGATTTTCTCAAACTTCGAATGAGGGGGGGAAAAAACAAAAAAGAACAACCTTATCAAAGAAAGATAATGTAACACACTACCTTCTTGTCATCTTAATCTAAATACAAAGAACCTTTCAGGTAATTTCGTATGGACACATTTTCTACAACAAAATAAAACAAATGAAAGGAATAGAAGGAAAAAGACACATTTTCTACAACAAAATAAAACAAATGAAAGGAATAGAAGGAAAAAGACACAACGAAATGAACAAAAAGGCAAACCCAAATATCACAATCACAGAGCCATAGCCGGACCATCCAAACCCATTTTACCAAAAATGATACCGACCATTTTGGCAAACAGCTTGCATGCAAAACACCAGACACAACTATTTAAGCTAATTCGTCAATGCTTCCCTGACATTTGCTGTCTAACCTCTGCAAAAAGAACATAAAAAGGACCATAGCAAAAACGAAGAAGGACATCAAGAAAGCCTAACATAGGCAGTACCTATTCTATCCAAATTTACTGAACCTTCAACTAAAGAAGAAAGACTAGAATTTTTTTGAAATATCTTGTCTTCATGATCACAACCCAAAAGCAAAAGCGTGAGCTATCATTAGCCTCCTGAAAACAAAGAGACGCTTAACAATGCATACCAGATAACAATTGATGCAGCTGCATCAGAACCATATCATAAATCAAGAACCAAGGGGAACCAAATGTATCATTCAGGAAATCCACAAAAACTTTCGAGTCAACTTCAATATGCAACCAGCAAATATCCTGATTCAAACATAGACGATACCAAATAGCCACGCCTTCATTTCTGCCAGAGTATAGGAACACTGCCCAAGCAACAATCAATAAGCAAAAACTAATTTGCCATGACCATCTCGGACAATACCCCCACCACCACCCAAACCAGATTACCTCGACTACATCCAGCACAATTCAACTTCAGAAAAAGGAACTTAAGGACTAACAAAAGAAACCATTCACACCTTAGGAGGAACTGGATGCACAAGACGAAGAGCCAAAGCTTTGAACCAATTGCTTCGCTTCATTATAGTGTCAAGTAGTAAATGATAAAAGCAATCGAGTAAAAACTTACCTACCAAATTCCCAAGAGATATATTTTCATGATGATGCTTCAAAGGTCAAATTGTAGGGAACCAACAATTATCCAACATATGCCCACCAAACATAGCATCCATATTGACGGCTTAACGAATTTCTTTGGTGTTATGGATTTCAAGTATATCCTGGGGCACCAACTTTTTAATCATATCAAAGAGTGTAGGATCTTGACCTTCAGCTGAGAGAAGATCCACTATTGTAGCCAAGGTAGATGCATCTTCTGAAAATCCCCTCCCAATCATTTTCTCTGCAAGAATATTTGCTTCAGTGTAGTCATTTGCTTTAAGGAATCCACGGACCAAAACATTGTAAGTTGCATGATTAGGCATACAACCCGTCCCTTCCATCATCACAAGTAAATCATTTGCCTCACCCAATAGCCCCTGTTCAAAAAATCCACCTATCATCATAGTATAAGTGTGAACATTGGGCTGCAACCCTTTGGCAGAAAGTTTACCATATAGATTCTTTGCCATCTCAAGCTTCCCATCTTTGCAAAATCTATAAATTAAAATACTGTGCATAGTAATATCAGGATTTATGCCACTGCGTTCTAGCTCCTGAAACAACAACAATGCTTCATCAATACGGCCATTCTTGGATAATCCATCCAGTAGGACACAATAAGTATAATAATCTGGAGTCTGATCATTAGCTTGCATCTCAGTCAGAAGTCCTTGAGCAGTAGAACACCTACCAACCCCAAACAATCCCTGCAACATAGTATTGTAAGTATCAATTGTGGGTTTCAATCCTTTGCAAATTGCAAGGCATTTCACGGAAAAGATTCATGGCCTCTTTAATTTTCATATTTTTGCAATATCCATTGATCAAAATGTTATAGCAACAAATGTTTGGCTCAATGCCCTTATTTACCATGGAATGAAAGTGCTTTGTCCATTTGGCCTTGCAAAAAATAACCATGCATCAGAGTACCGTATGTGACTGCATTGGGACCAACACCTCTTTGGACCATGAATTCAAGAACATTCTCTGCTTCTTTTGCCATCCCTTCCTTGCAGAATGCATTTATCAATGTATTAAATGTAAGAACATCTGCAAAAACATTCTTGCCTGTCATGTCTCTCAACATTCTTGTTGCTTCCTCCCACAGGCCTAAATTACATAATCCGTGAATCAAAGTGTTGTAAGTGATCGAGTCTGGTGTAACATCCTGCTGGTTCATTTCCACTAAGAGGCTCAAAGCATCATCTACATTTTTGTCCTTGCAAAGACCATCAATAATTGTGTTATACATCACAACATCAGGCTTATAGTTCCATTTTCGCATACTCCAAAGAATCCCTATGGCAGTTGCAGTATTTCCTGTCTTGGAAAGCCCATTTATAATAGTTCCGTACATAACTCTATCAGGTTTGATTTCTCCCTCTCTTACCAATTTATTAAACAATTCCATGGCCTTACCAGTCTTGTCTGGTAAAATGAACCCATTCATTAGAGTGGTGAAAGTAGATACACATGGTACATAACCAAGTTTGAAGAAGCTACTCAAGACATAAAACCCATAATCTAGTCGATTCAAGTGGCAAAGGCAATTTATTACGACATTCAGGTATAATCATTAACCGTAATACCCAACAAGCGTATTTCTTTAAACAGAGAAATAACGGTGGAATAATGCTTCATTCTGGTAATACCCGTTAACAGCTGAGTGAATTGGATAACCGAAGGAAGGGGTTGCATTTGGACCATCCGATGGAATAAACTAAGAGCATCATCGAGCTTACCAAACCCCAATTCGGATTTGTCCAACAGAAATTTGGGTAGTTGCTTCCGGTGATCAGGAAGATTAGGATTAGGGTTAGGGTTAGGGTTAGGGTTAGGGTTAGAGTTAGTTGAAATTTGGGTATGAAACAGAAGTGTATTGTCATCAGCTGACAACAATGGGTTGAAGTTGAAATTGAAATTGGGGGAGGGAAGAACAGTGATACCTTTTCGGTAATTATGAGCTAATAATCTTCTTCCGGAAATCAAAGCACCAGTGGCGATTGCTTGCATTTTCTTCACTAACAATGATAGATACCACTAATTTTAGAGCTCTAAAAATATCACTAATGATATGACACTCAATAAAAAAAGAAAAAAAATACAATACTAAAGTCAAAACATCAAATCATTCATGGTGAGATCCACTGCCACATAATTAGTGGTAGCACTAATTAGTCATCTCATTCATTTTCATTTTCTTCACTAAAAAGTGGTTCTTTTTGAGACAGCTAGACACGAAAGTGAGTGCTTGAGTCGTTTGATGATAGAAGCTCTCGTTATTGCTACGTTTGGCAGGGGCGAAAAAGAAAGATGAAGGGAAAGTGAGAGAGGAGTAAAAAGAGAATTCGTTTAGATTTTTTCTTTTTTTTAAACCTTGATTTCCCTATTATCTCATAAACTTTTTTATTTTGTATATTTAATTCTTAAATTTTTAATTTCTTGTATTTAATTTTAATTTTTGTTTCCTCGTCATATGATTCAATTAAATACAGTTTTTGTTAATAAAAATTATGTTAAGGCCTATATTTGTTGACAGGAATTTAACCCCAGTTTTTAACAAATAATCAAATGTAACCAAGCAATTGTGTAAGACTCAATTTTTTCTTTTAAAAAAAAAAATAAGAAACACTTACAAAGATTACAAACTAAAGTTGCAAAGATAAAGTTACTCCTAACTATGATAAAACTAAGCTAATTGACATGTTGTTGTTGAAAGTCCCTCCTTTAGATTATTCTTCCAGCATTTAGACATCAACATGGAGTGTTAACCGCAGGCGGTGGTGGTTTAGTAGAGCTTCGTCCTCCATTTTTTCAAAAAATTATATTGTACTCTTATTACAAAAATCTTAAGATTCTTATTGTAGAGTGAGTGTGAAATTCATCATTGCCTCAATGAGATTTTTTTTATTTGAATTGAATTAAATCTAACTACCAAATGACTAGACCGGAGTCAAAGCCATAAGAAGTTATGAGGCCTCTACGGTATTTTCTTTTCAACAATGATTCATCCCCCCTTTTCTCCCCACCCCTTTGACCCCCTCTCTCTCTCATTGGTTACATTTTCTTTTTCTTTTTCTTTTTTTTCCTACTCCTCCAATCACCACCCGCCACATGGCAAAGGGGGGTGAGAGGGTGACCCCCAAAAAGGGGTCCCAAGCATTATTCTTTCCTTTTTTAGTGTTAAAAAAAAAAACATCAATAATTATTCGCATAAAGGGGTATTTTCATAATTGCCACTTTTGCAAACTGATGTGCAACTACTCTGTTGTTTGAGAACATGTGCCTAAGCATGATTTTGTAACTCCATATTTACACCAAATGACTCATTGCATGGAGGAATTATTCTGTCTTAATTGAAATTTTATTATTGGCGGTGTGGCCAATAAATAATAGGAAGATTATGAATTACATAATGCTAAAAATTAAAAAATGATAGAAAAATGACATGATGTATGGATGGACACATGATTGCATAATTTTCCTAACCCATAAAATAATTTCTACATTGCAGAACACCTCTCTTCGAAATATGGTGCCATCTTTAAGTAACTGCCTTGCTTCCTAAAAATAAAAATAGAAAATATATATACATACATATATTTTTATTATTTTTCAACATGACATACAAGTAAAATAATATATAGCGCAAAAAAAAAAAAATTATAAATCAGTAATTATGGAAGCCTATTGACGAACCAAAAAATAATTTTATAATTTGAACAATTTAAATTATGTAACTAAACAGTCATTATATTAGTTGTAAAGCATAATTTGTTCAAAATAATAATAAAAAAATTTGAGTGTTTTATTGTATGATTTAAATTTTAAATCAATATTTAAAAATTTCTAAAAACAGTTTGACATGCGTATTATATTTTAACCATTATGTCTATTTCCCTCTCTTTGTCTTTCTTCCTTGTCAAATGACTAGTTACCTTCCTTTTTTTTTCCCCCCTTTTTTTTTTTTTTTTTTTTTTTTTTTTTTTTTTTTATATATATAAATTCTGCTTTTATTTGTTCTTCACAAATTTGTCTTTATTAGCAAAATTACTTTGTTTGGTTCTAGTTTTTAGAAAATAATTTTTAAAAAAATTTGATTTTTTTTATTTTTTGTATTTTAAAGTTTTCAATATATTTTTTAAATATTTTAAGCAATTTTTAAAATTTTTGGACATACCTAATATAAATGCACTTAAAAAATATAAAATTTGTGAAAAAAATATTTAAAAAATACACTAAATACCAAAAAATACAAAAAAATCAATACATTTTTTATATTTTTGTGTATTTATTAATTTTTTTAAAATATTTTTCATAAATATTTTACTATTTAGATACATATAAGTAAAGTATATTTAAAAAAGTAAAAAAATTATTTAAAATTTAAAAAATATTCACTAAAAATAAAAAATAAAAAATTCAATTTCAAAAAAATTAAATTCAGAAAAGTGAAACTAAATTAATATTTTAGAAATCATAACAATTTCTCTTTGTACGTGGAATAATGTACAAAATATATATTATCTCAAATTTGCAATATAATTGTATGAAGCATCAAAGAAACGGAATACAGCTCGGAAATAATACAAAGGCGTTATTTGGTAACATTTACGTTTTTTATTTTTTTTTTATATTTATAAAAATTTAAAAAAATTCAAATAAAAATTTATTTGGTAAAATTTTTGATTTATAAATCAGTGATCTCAGTTTATAAATTTGGCAAAAAATAAAAAACACAAAAAATATGTTTCCGTTTTGAGTTTTGAGTTTTTTTTTTTTACCACCCAACACTAGCCACCACCCGCACCATTTCCACCACCGTCTTCCACCACCACCCCACCTGCCACCATCACTCACCACCCACCTGCCACCACCAGCCACGTGCCACACATCCACCCGCCGCCACCACCACCACCACCACCACCACCACCACCACCACCACCACTATCACCCACCACCCACCCGTCACCCACATTGCTACCACCACCCACCACCCACCACCCAACCACCCACTACCACCAACCACTCACTACCACCTACCACTCGCCACCGTCACCACCCACCCGCCACCACCACCACACCACCACCCGTCACCTACCACTACCACTCGCCATCTGCCACCCACCGGCCACCACCACCCACCACCACCCATTCGCTACCACCTACCACTCGCCACCGTTCCCACCATCACACCCACCACCATCGACCACCATCCCATCCGCTACCACCCACTTGCTACCACCACCACCCACTTGCTACCACCCACCACCACACCCGCCACCACCCACCAACCACTTGCCACCACCACCACCACCCACCTCGCTACCCACCCACCACCGTCACCCACCACCCACCCACCACCACCACCTACCGTCACCATCTTCTACCATCGTCTTCTGCCGCCACTTGCCACCACTTGTCATTTCTCACTCTTTTTTTTATATTTTTAATTTTTTTTTATACATTTTGTCAATTACCAAATGCGTTTGTAGTTTATGTTTTCCTAAAAATAAACAAAAATCAGTTTATAAAATTTTTGTAAATATAAACTGAAAACGTAAACGTTACCAAACACACTGTCTGTCTGTGTTTTTTTTTTTTTTTAAATTGAGAACAAAGTGTTGTGTTGGTGTGCTAATAACATCATTCTTTTCGTCTTTCTGTATGTTGTTGGATGAAATTCCAGCAAAAAAAAAAAAATAGATTTAAGCTGTTGCATTGAGAAAATGAGAATGCATCTTTGCCAAATAAGTTTTCAAAAACCAAAACCTAGTTTATCATATGCAATGTATAATACCAAATGTTGAGGTTTCGAAGTGTTAGAGAACTACCTTTGACGATTGGATGAGAAAATTAACATTCATGTCATATTGTACTTACAAACAACCTAACCGCCGCATATTCATATAAATACTTTGTGAGTGAATTTCCGATCACACTACCAACTCAGTGTCTAGCTGGAGAGCACTGGCAGAATAGATGACACCTGGCTGACCTGTAACAGAAAGAAAAGATTCCGATGGTGGTTCGTCCACCCGGGGGCACCTCGACGATCAAGTCAGTATATCTCTCAAAGATAATCAAAAGTGCTAAACTCACTATTCAGAATATAAATTGCGTACCTTAGACTCATCGGGGGTGCCTTTTATAGTTACCTCAATCGTAGTCCCCATAGAAGCCTAGCTTCAATGGACTTCTATTCAGTGCTTATCCTAGACTCTCCAATAGATAAAGATAAACTCCCTAAGAGTGTTATCCTTATCCATGCTAAAGTCCTTCCTTATTCTAGGACTCTTGTCCCTTATCCACTTATTTCGGATTCTAATATCTTCGGAGATAACCTCGGCCTTGCCGAGATCACCTCGACGTCATGACCCGGATACGTGGCACCTCGGCTTACAAGTCGACATCACCTTGGCCACATGTTGGTACTTTAAAAATATATCCCTACAACTGCCCCCTAGGTTCTATTACCTGTCACCTTAACCACGTGTCGGTACTCAGAAAATATATCCTCACAACTACCCCCTAGGTTCTATTACCTCGGCATTCTGAGATGATGGAACCTATACCAGAACTTCCTGCCAATACATCGGTGTAAAGTCTCTCAGCCGAGATCATCATTATAGGTCGGCATGTCTCTTTAAGGTTAAAAGTTTCTAAGATCTCCTTCACGCGTATGAGCTGTCATGTATCATAGTTCAACCGTTTAAGCCACATGTCCTTCTCTTACTGGATCGTACTTGGTACGTGCTTCTAAAATCATTTTCGTATATGCATGCGCCGTCTGATGCACACGTTGTTTTAGGCACATTAATTTTGTTTTTTCGCCGTTCCAAGTTTTAACAAAACTTTCCCCCTCTCTTCGTCGCTTCATTTTTTGTTCAATCCTCTAGTTTTTTCTCTCTCTAGCTCTTAGCTTTCTCAAACCCTCCATTGTTCAAGCTTTATTAGCTCTGCAACTTGCTCCGTTTACCACTTCCAGCGAGATTTTCACCGATCCTCCACCT